TTATCCAGCTGGCTTTATGTCTAAAGTGGGACTAGAATTCATGGTCTCCTACTTCAGCATTATAACTATTAAACTAAACTGGCTGTCTTTTGTTGCCTTAAAGGTAAAGGTTCCCCTCGCACATATGTGCTAGTTGTTCCTGACTCTAGGGGGCACTGCTCATCTCCGTTTCAAAGCCAAAGAGCCAGCGCTGTCCAAAGACGTCTCCGTGGTCATGTGGCCGGCATGACTCAATGCCAAAGGCGCATGTAATGCTGTTACCTTCCCACCAAAGGTGGTCCCTCTTTTTCTATTTGCATTTTTTACGTGCTTTCCAACTGCTAGGTTGGCAGAAGCCGGGACAAGCAACGGGAGCTCACCCCGTTACGCAGCACTAGGGATTCGAACCGCTGAACTGCCGATCTTTTGATCAACAAGCTCAGCGTCTTAACTGCTGAGCCACCACGTCCCTTTTATTTTATTTATTTATTTATTTATCTTATTTTATTTTATTTTATTTGTCGCCTTAAGAGATTCTAAATCTATCCTTCCTCTTTTTTTTTCCTTTCTTTCATGGATGCCAGATTATGTGCCCAATAACGCGAACAGCTTTGTGTGCTTAGGCAAACCAGAACAAAACGTTTTGCCCTCATGCAAATCATTTATTTAAATGCAGGGCGTATTTATTTTATTTTTTTTTCCCTACTCGCAGAAGAGTTTTGCAGACGGGAGGACACTTTCGCTCCAAGAAAACAATTGTTCCTAAGGTTTTCACATTCCGTTCAAACCCACAGCGTTTCATTCATCCTTAATATCTCCCCAGGGTTGGGAGAAAACGGTTCATGGCGCTTTTGTTCTCCTGATTTTTCATGCAATGTGATTAGATAAGGGGTTTTGTTTTGGGGTTGGGTGTTTTTTTTTGGGGGGGGGTTGCTAGTACACCGCTGACTCTTACACACATGGGTTTTAGCCTCATTGTTCAAGGACTAGAGCCGCCACGAAACAAAACCCAAGTTCTGCCAAGTTTCACAATGTGCAAGAGTCCTCCAAGGTTTACAGCTACGTTGCTTCCCTTTCATTGCAATTCCCCTCGCATTTTGCTCTGCTACCCGGTACAGTAACTCTATTATCTCGGCTGCATTATTCTCAAGCTGCATCTCTTCCCCGTTTGTGCCTGTAATCCATTCGGTCGCTCTCGAGGTTGTCACGAGAATCTTTGGATTGAAAGGAATCACTTAAGTCGTGCCAAGGATTCTCTTGAACCTGCTGGCAAGAAGCGAACTCCCAACTCAAGAACTGGGCTTGTGATCCTGCTAACCGAAGGGTGTTTGTGTGTTTGTGTGTATGTGTGTTGCTCTTTACTGAAGGTTATAATTTGTTGCTTTCATGATGCTGTGTCTGCGGTGCTTGTACTCCACATTATCTCCTCTCCCTGGTGGGTTTTCTACAAAGCATGATGGGAACGTTAGCCTGGAAAAGGAAAATAATTCATATTGCCTGTTGATGTTTGCCTGGTGTGCGTGGCGAAGTGTATCACACACACAGCCGCAAGCAAAGGGAGACATCTACTGTCTGAACAGATAGCAGAGGAACTCTTCTTCTTTTTTTAAATAAAGTTTTTTTTATTTTTTAAGACAAACGTTTAATACATCATTCATTTCTTCCATGTGATAATTCAGTGTTATCTTCAAAAATGTCTTCTCATCTGGAGAAAGAAGAAAGGGAAAAGGAGAGGAAGAAGAGGGTGGGGAAAGAGGAGTAGAGGAGAAGGTTGGAAGGAAGGAAGGAAGGGAGGGAGGAGTGAGGGAAGAGAAGGGGAAGTAGGAAAGAGAAGGAGAGGAAGAACGAAGGAAGTAGGAGGAGAAATAGGGGAAGAGAAGGGGAGGAGAAGAAGAAAGGTTGGAGTAAAGGTAAAGGGTAAAAGAGCAGCCCCGAAAAAGTAAAAATGAAAAATGAAAGTTAAAAGAAAAGATGAATGAAAAATGATGGAAATGACTGTACATGTGAATGTGTTTATGAAAAATAAAAATAAAAAACTTTTTAAAAAAATTCTTCTGCTCTTCTGTCTTCAATCTCACCAAATCCATTACAAAGCTTTTCCATTAATATAATATTCTAATTACAACACATTTTTTTTGCTTCAATCTCTTTTAAAACTTATTTATATCTCTTTTCTAACCAATAGTAAAATTTATTCCATATCTTAAAATATTCTGAATCTTCTCTTTCCTTTATCATCATAGTTAATCTATTCATTTCTGCACAGTCTAAAAATGTTTTTAAATTACTTCTCCCTTCGATGGTATATTCTCTGCTTTCCAATTTTGTGCATAAACAATCAGCAAAGGAACTCTTTACTTATGCCGTATTTGTGTCTCTGCAATATTGCTGCGTTTAAGTCTGTCTGCTTGCTAAAACATCCCGGCAATCTGTCGTATGTATGTATGTACTCTGGATTGTTATTTACCGGTCCCTGGTGCCCAAAAGGTTGGGGGGCCACTGATCTACAGTATTTTAAATGGTTTCAGAGACATTACAAGGCTGCCTTTAAGGCTTCCACAAGAGAGCGCTCTTTGTGTAATAAAAATGACATTGTCTGAGACATTGTGTTTTCTTTTTCTGCAACAGCTTTTCCAGTGTGATTTGGCTTTCTTCTATTTTTTTCCTTCCTTCCTTCCTTCCTTTCCTTGAAAAAACTTTTTTCTTCACTCCATTCCTAAACTTGTTAGCTTCCTTTGTTTTCTTCCTTTTCTAAATTTCCCAGTATATCTTCCTTCCTCCTTTCTTTCTTTCTTTCTTTCTTTCTTTCTTTCTTTCTTTCTTTCTTTCTTTCTCCTTCCTTCCTTCCTTCCTTCCTTCCTTCCTTCCTTCCTTCCTTCCTTCCTTCCTTTCTCCAAAGCAATCTGCTTTTGGAATGAAGTCCCTTCCTTCCTTCCTTCCCCCTCTCTTTCTCCTTCTTTCCTTTCTTCCTTCCTTTTTCCTACGCTCCCTCCTTAGGAAACTATCAGAGAAAAGAGACAGGAGCCCTCAGACTGTCGCGTAATGGTTATAAAATAACACTTTATTCTTTCTAGGTTAGAGAAATAAACCTAAGAAAGACCCACCCTAGTGAATCTAGCAGTTAAAAGGAGCAGCAGGAAGTTTGTACTTTCAGACTGGCAAGAATCTATGAATATAACCTCACAATAAAGTAGATTTTGCTCATCCGGTCTTGTTTCCTGCCTGGTTCACCCAAGAAAACAATACAGAAAAACAACAGTCCACAACTACAGATGTAGTTCATAAAAAATGCATCGCATAAAAAATGTATCTCCGGTGTGTCTCAAAGGCAGACATTTGCAACCCCTGAATATATCCGCAGGCAAAAGAGGGGATCATTCTCCACGGATTTGTCCAGGATGACATCAAGAATTACACTCAAAGACGGCACCAGCCACAGGATAGAACAGTGATGGCTAACCTTTTTGTCATCGCGTGCCAAAAGCGTGGGGGGGGGTCATACCCACGTGCGCCCACATCCATAATTCTATGTGTCCCGCCCCCTGTGCTCCTCCAACTTTTGGCACGCAATGGCCCGGTAGACCCGTTTTTCACTCTCCTCAGGCTCCAGAGCCATTCTAGGAGCCTGGGGAGGGCAAAAACAGCCTTCCCCACCCTGGAGGCTGGAAACAGCGTGTTTCTGACTTCTGGTGGGTCCAGAAGGCCTGAAAATCAGCTGGCCGGTGCACGCATATGTGCCGGAGCTGAGCTCGCATGCCCACCGATATGGCTCCATGTGCCATAGGTTCGCCATCACGGGCATAGAACATCTCAAAGAAATAGTGCAAGATTGGAAGATGTGAAGAGACCTGGCCTAGAGAATCACCAACAATCGGACGTGACCGAACGGATAACTTCATTATCAATAAAGAGCTAATCCACTATCGGGAGTCACCCTGACCCACAAATGGACCCTGAGAGTTCACCCCAATTCTTTCCATTGTACAGGTAGTCCTCCATTTACCAGGGTTCATTCGGTGACCATTTGAAGTTATAACAGCACTGAAAAAGCGACTTACGACTTAACAGATTTGTCGATGAGGACATCAAGAATTACACTCAAAAGATGCTGGAGACATGGGGTTCAACATGGGGAAGTGAACCTCCGCCAGCCCTCCTCCCCCTTCAATATCATGCATTTAATAAAATGAGTGTATGTTTGAAAATGTGCAAGAGAGAGAAAGACAGACAGACAGACAGACAGGCTCTGTGTGTGAAAAAGCGAGATCCCTATGTTTGTGTGTGTGTGAGAGAGAGACATAGATACACACAGAGCCAGACAGACAGGCTTGTGTGTGTGAAAGAGAGATCCCTGTGTGTGTGTGTGAGAGAGAGAGAGAGAGACTAGGGAGAGGAAGATTGTGATTCCAGGTTGCACTGACTTCAATTCCAGCAAGTCAACTAGGAATAGAATAGAATAGAATAGAATAGAATAGAATAGAATAGAATAGAATAACAGAGTTGGAAGGGACCTTGGAGGTCTTCTAGTCCAACTCCCTGCTTAGGCAGAAAACCTTACACCACTTCAGACAAATGGTTATCCAACATCTTCTTAAAAACTTCCAGTGTTGGAGCATTCACAACTTCTGCAGGCAAGTTATTCCACTGATTAATTGTTCTCACTGTCAGGAAATTTCTCCTCAGTTCTAGGTTGCTTCTCTCCTTGATTAGTTTCCACCCATTGTTTCTTATCCTATCCTCAGGTGCTTTGGAGAATAGCTTGACTCCCTCTTCTTTGGGGCAACAAGCTATGATTCACCTTGCTAGTTATAACGTGGGAATATTATTATATTCCCCCCACCCCAGATGGTTCTTTTCCTATTTGGTTCTTTTTGCAAACCCCAAACGCCAGTGAGACACTTCTGGGCTTCCAGTGACCACCTGAAGGGAGACACCTTTTCCAAAGCAGGCAACCCCGCCTCCTCCTCCTCCTCTTCCTCCTCCTCTTCCCGGCTGGTCATATGAAACCCGGATCGGAATGTGTTTACTCGCCCGTTTGCACCGTGACGCAACCCGGCAAAGGTCCTTGCAACCTGTGAGCTGTCTGGGGGCCGGGGAATCAAGCGAGGAGCGTTACTCATTGACAGAGTTATCGGGCGCCGAGACTACCCAGCGGATGATACACGAGATTTGCTGCTTTGCGCAAGGCGCCTGCGCTCTTTCAGGAAAGAATTGGACCCAGAAGGCGCAGCTAGACAAGGAACCCGCCGCCGATCCCCGTTTTTCCGCCTTTGAAGGGGAGGCAGGCTGGCCAAATCTCCCTGCAGGAAGCCCTGCCGGCGAGGAAGGGAGGTTTAAAGGCCCGGGAGCTCTGCCCTTCCACCATCCGAGATCCACCCTTTGCGCTCGTTTGCAGGATCTCCGGGCATCGCGGCCTTGCATCGCCGGCCCGAGGTAGGGAGCATGGAAAGCCAAGCGCGGGGGGGGGGGAGGCGGCTGGAGAAACAGAGCAAGCTGCGGGAAAGGGAAAGAAAGGAGATGGCTCACTCCCACACCCCCCCCCCCCCTTCCCCCCCCCCCCCCCCCCCAACCGGCAGAGAACTTGAATTCCAAGGCGCTAGTCCCTTCGCTTTATAAGGAACGACTTCGCCAAGTGCCACTTGCAGTCCTGCCCTTCGGGAGTTGGACTACAGATCCCATGTTCCCTAGTCGTTGGCCGTGGTTGTTAGGGCGTAACAGAAATGACTCGTTCTGTTTCTTTTTTTCTTTTTTCTAAGATTTTTTTTTTAAAAAAATCTTGGATATTTGGGGCTTTTCTCCCCGCCTAGAAAGAATCTTTCGACTGTTGATAGGACGATTGTGAGAGCTGCTAATTTAGAAGAGAAAAAAGCCAGAATACTCTGGGGAGGAAAAGAAAGGGAAAGCGAAAGGGGAAGGAGGGAGGGAGATTTCATTGTTTAGGCATGTATCATTCTTGTATGCAAGAATGATACAGATCACAAATAACATTTAAATACAGTTAAATGTGATACACTATTTCACTTGGGTGAAATAGTGTATCACAGGGCAACAATTTTTGAGTCAACAATACATGCCTCAAATAGTTTTAACTTACAGAATCTGGACACGATTCCTGTGGGATTGAAGATTGGCAAAGTTTGCTGCCTTGCTGTATTTTTTTTTTTTTAAATTTGATTTATATGCCGCCCTTCTCCGGAGACTAAGGGCGGCTTACAATGCGTTAAGCAATAGCCTTCATACTTTTGTATATTTATACAAAGTCAGTTTATTGCCCCCATAAACTGGGTCCTCAATTTACCTACCTTAGAAAGGATGGAAGGCTGAGTCAACCTTGAGCCTGGGGAGATTTGATCCAGCAGAAATTGCAGGCAGCTGTGTTAATAATAGGGTGCACTAAACCACTGTACTATCAAGTGGTATTGAGCCACAGTCTCGTGATTTTCGGTTCCAATATTCCCTACCAAGCTTCCTATTAAGAAAGTCAGTGAGGAAACCAGCAGGAAGTCAGAAGTCACTTCCCTTCTCCTTTTGCCTTTGATTATTCTGTTTCTCTGAATTGGCAAGGAAATATCTCTGAAAGGATGACTCAACAGGTAATAGCAATAGCAATAAGCATTTAGGCTTCTATACTGCTTCGCCGTACTTTACAGCCCTCTCTAAGCAGTTTACCGAGTCAGCCTATTGCCCCCAACAATCTGGGTCCTCATTTGACCCACCTCGGAAGGATGGTTGACTGAATCAACCTTGAGCCAGTCAGGATCGAACGCTTGGCAGTGGGCAGAGTTAGCCTGCAATGTGAGTTCTAATCACGGGAAGGGAAGGGAAGAAGGAAGGAAGGAAGGAAGGAAGGAAGGAAGGAAGGAAGGAAGGAAAGAAACAAGGAAACAAGGAAACAATAGCACTTACTTATATACTGCTTCACAGTGCTTTACAACCTTCTCTAAGCGGTTTACAGAGTCAGCCTATTGCCCCCAACAATCTGGGTCCTCATTTTACCCACCTCGAAAGGATGCTTGACTGAATCAACCTTGAGCCAGTCAGGATCGAACGCTTGGCAGTGGGCAGAGTTAGCCTGCAATGTGAGTTCTAATCACGGGAAGGGAAGGGAAGAAGGAAGGAAACAAGGAAACAATAGCACTTAGACTTATATACTGCTTCACAGTGCTTTACAACCTTCTCTAAGCGGTTTACAGAGTCAGCCTCTTGCCCCCAACAGTCTGGGTCCTCCTTTTACCCACCTCGGAAGGATGGAAGGCTGAGTCCATCTTGAGCCTGGTGCAATTCGAACTGCCAAATTGCAGGCAGCCGGCAGAAGTAGCCTGCAGTACTGCACTCTAACCACTGTGCCACCACAGCTCATGGGGTTGGTTAGTGATTATTAAGTGTCTCTCTATGTGTGTGTGCATGTATGTGTGTATGAGTGAGAGAGTGAATGAACGAATGAATGAATGAATTACTATGCACACCTACAAATATGAACAAGCAGCTCTAAGCTCTACCTGTGAAGAAGAAAGAAAGAAAGAAAGAAAGAAAGAAGAAAGAAAGAAAGAAGAAAGAAAGAAAGAAAGAAAGAAAAAGGAAGGAAGGAAGGAAAGAAGGAAAGAAAGAAAGAAAGAAAGAAAGAGAGAGAGAAAGAGAGAGAGAGAGAGAGAGAGAGCTGGATTAAGGTTCTTTTACAACTGTTGCAGGTCCAGAGAAGTCACCATGCCTGTCAACATCAGAGACGTGATGCAGCTCCTCTGCCATGTTTCTGAAGAGCGAAAAATGAAAGCAGCCTTCAAGCACTCTGGGCGAGGCGCCTTGGTGGTTGGAACGACGGCTTTCTTCGGAGGTTTGATGGCAGGACCACCTGGCCTTGCTGTCGGTAAATTAACACTTTGGATATGGGCATAAATGCATCCAGGAGCTTTGGGTGCACCGAATTGTAGCTTTAAATCTGTCAGGGAAGGTGAGGGTGGGAGATACTGAAGAAGGGGAAGGAGCAGGGGTGAAATCCAGCAGGTTCTGACAGGTTCTGTAGAACCGGTAGCGGAAAATTTGAGTAGTTCGGAGAACCGGCAAATACCACCTCTGGCTGGCCCCAGAGTGGTGTGGGAATGGGGATTTTGCAGTATCCTTCCCCCAGGAGTAGGAAGGGAATGGGGATTTTGCAGTATCCTTCCCACAGGAGTGAGGAGGGAATGGAGATTTTGCAGTATCCTTCCCCTACCACGCCCATCAAGCCACGCCCACAGAACCGGTAGTAAAAAAAAAATTGGATTTCATCACTGGGAAGGAGCCCTGGGTTAATTACATTAATGAATGCATTTACATTCAGTTTAAATTGAACCCACTTTCCAAAGTCAAACCAATCTTTCTTACCGTTATATAGATTATAAAGATTATAAAGCGGTGGGGCACAGTCATTGTAAAAAAGTAAAGTTAGAAAATAATACAAATATTTATATGTGTGATATAACTATTTGTATTATTTATGTTGTGGCCCGCCAGTGGAGCTGGTGGCAGACTCGGACAGTGAGGAGGTTGGGGAGGAACATGGGCCAGTCCTGGAGTCTGGGGAAGGCTCTGATGAGGGCTCTGCATCGGAGGCAGAGAGGGGGCCAGGGCCGTCCGACAGTTATCAGCTGCCTTCGGAGTCAGACATCAGTGGGGCAGAAGAACAGCTGGAGCCTGTTCCCAATGTCAGCATGCACGGAGCTGCCAGGAGACGGGAACAGCAAAGGAACAAGGGCCGACTCAGGAGTAAAGCCACAGGTGGACAGTGAACGGCCCCTCCCATAGGGAATAAAGAGGAACGAAAGGGGAGGGGAGTTTGCAGGAGTCAATTAGTTCAATTCATGAGGGTGAAGATCTGTTCCTGACTTCTTGCCAAGTAATTGCTGGCGTTTGGAAGATATCGGCCTGGCAACTCTCCAAGCCTGATAAAGGTCTGTAGTTGTGAAATCTCATGAAAGACTGTTGGCTGGGACTTTGCTGGAGAAGAATTCCCTTTAGCTTAAATAAAAGAGGTTTTATCGGGACGAGGAGTCTGCTTCATGATCTTGGGAGGCCTAGGTCAGGACAATTTAATGGTATAAAATATAGACGATATAAAATATAGAACCGGTGGGAATTTAAAGGCTATAAAATGCTACGGGTCAAACTCATTATTTGAAGTATACTTCGTGTATAAAAAAATAGAAAAGAGATATTCATTAATATATTAAATAAGGATCTCAGCAATCATGCTGGCTGGAGAAATCCTGGCAGTCCAAGTCCACAATCTTCAAGTTTCTACAGTCGTAAAAATTTCATTGAACGCTGTTCTAAATAGATATATAATAGGACAATGCAACTTAAATATATCCCAGATCCCTTACCTGCATCCGAAACAACGCTGCTTTCCTTGGCAAATAGTCAAATGGTTTTACCGTTCAATGATAGCTTGCCAATCGAAGTCGAAAGCCGGCTTATCTGTCCTGTTTTTCTAGGAGGTGCCATTGGTGGCTTGCTTGGAGCCTGGATGACCTCGGGACAGTTCAAGCCCATTCCTCAGATTATCCTGGAACTGCCTCCTGTGGAGCAGCAACGACTTTACGAAAACGTCTGTGCCATTATTCAGAATCTGGACTGGACGGATATAGCCCAACTCACAGCCTTGGTCATGGCCAACGGTGCCCTTCAAGAGAAATTGCTTGGAGTCCTGACAAGCTATATCACTAATGAACTCCGAGGGGAGATCCAGTATGGAAACTAGACTCAATTTGTGTTTCAGGAGGTTGTGAGTGCCCTTGACTCCCTTCTGGTCCTTTTCTCTCTGGCGTTTTAGATTTCTTAAGATCGTGGTTTTTATAAGAATAACAAGATGGCAACTGTGCATTTTTCTTTAACCCCCAAATAATCTGTTCGGGAAAAGTTCTTCTTCTTCTTCATAATTAGTCCTTATTTCAATAGCCAAGGGTAGATCGGTTTGAGCCTTGATGTTTACCGTATTTATTTAAAAATCTACTTATGCCACCCCAAAAACTGGATTTGGAGTGCCTTGCCAAGTAAGTACCTCTCATTCATCAGACCTCCTAAAGCAGCGGCCTCTGTAACAGTGACGTCATCAAAGAAAGTGCCACCGTTGCGTCCTTGCATCGTGATCAATGCAATAAGTCATGGCGTTGGCGGTATGATGACGTCACCATTTGCTGCTCTTTGATGTGCATCGTTCTAGATGAATAATGATACACTGCACAGGTATCATCAGCCTTATCCCAGGGTGAGATCTTTGACCTATTGTCCTACCCAAATATGTTCTTTGGCTTAGAGAGAGAGAGACAGGCTGGTGGTTAACGTATCTTCAGGATGCCAAGTTGGAGAAACCTAATGTAGATCACGGCATTGTGGTTGAACTACGTGGTGTCCTCTTGGCCACATTAGAATGATCAACGTCAAATTACTTGGAATTTCTCAGATTGTGGGGGGGGGTTCACTTATCCATGGGGTGTGTTTCTTCTCTTGCTGCCTTAATTTTGGGACGGTGAAGGAGTGAAAAGTTGAAATAGTCCGGAGCCAAAAATGTAGCAGATGATTCACCTTAGGTATTTCTCCTGAAGATGCAAATAAAGCTGAATTTTAATGTGTGAACTGCCAAAGTTGTATGATCATTATTCCCCTTCCTTTTAGAGATGCCAAACTGGGTTTCTTGAACTTAAGTTGCCTTCAGTTGAGAATGTTCAACAGGAGGAGACAAGGAAGAAAGATCTGGGAGTAGCAAAGAATATTAAAAGTTCAACATATTTTTTTTTTTAATTTGATTTATATGCCGCCCTTCTCCGGAGATTCAGGCCAGCTTACAATGCGTTAAGCAATAGCCTTCATCCTTTTGTATATTTATACAAAGTCAGCTTATTGCCCCCACAAACTGGGTCCTCATTTCACCTACCTTAGAAAGGATGGAAGGCTGAGTCAACCTTGAGCCTTGGCGAGATTCGAACCTGCAGTAATTGCAGGCAGCTGTGTTAATAACAGGGTGCACTAAACCACTGTACTATCAAGGCTCTTTGAAAACATTCAGGTTTTACAGTTTGGGTTTTTTTAAAAAAAAAAACCAAATGAAAATACAGCTAGGCCTCGACTTACAACAGTTTATTTAGTGACCATTTTCATTGAACGACCATTGCAGCATCCCCATGGTCACGTGATCAAAACTCAGAAGCTTGACAGCTGACTCATATTTATGATGGTTGCAGTGTCCCGGGGTCATGTGATCCACTTTTGCGACCTTCTGACAAGCAAAGTCAAGGTTGGGAACCCAGATTCACTTAACAACCGTGTTACTAATTTAACAACTGTGCCAAGAAAGGCTGTACAATGGAGCAAAATTCACTTAGCAAATGTTTCACTGAGCGACATAAATTTGGGGCTCAATTGTGGTCGTAAGTCAAGGACTACCTGTTCATAGAAATCGAGCAATGAAAAATTGTCTTTCGCATTGTCTCACACAAGAAATTGAGGCATGGGAAGACATCTTCCAGAAAGACAGATACGATGGGACAATGTAAACGCTGAAAACTGATTAAGAGGGCATTAGGTGAGGTTGGTAGCCTTGTAGATAAATTTGGCAGTAGGAACAAGAGAATTGCTGTGAAAGGCGGTTTTGAAAAGGATTTCAAAGCTGCAACTAAGGGAGAATGGTAGCGTGTTTGCACAATCAATACTTTTTGTACAATGGAGAGCAAGCATCGTGACAAGGTTGGTAAGTTAATAATTGTGTATCTTTATCTTATCTAAAGTCCATTGTACCAGGAGGTAAGTTGCAAGTCTGCATTCAGTGGGGGAATGGCCTTCCAAATGTCTTAAGCATCATTCCTAAAACATAGGAAAAACAGTTGCAGGAATTGGATATGTCGAGTCTAGTGAAAAGAAGGACTAGGAATGACATAACAGTGTTCCAATATTTGAGGGGCTGCCCCAAAGAAGAGAGGGTCAGCCTGTTCTCCAAAGCACCTGAAGGCAGAACAAGAAGCAATGGATGAAAACTAATCGAGGAGAGAAGCAATCTAGAACTGAGGAGAAATTTACTGATGGTGAGGACAATTAACCAGTGGAACAGCTTGCCTCCAGAAGTTGTGGGTGGTAAAACACTGGAGGTTTTAAAGAAGAGACTGGATAACCGTTTGCCTGAAATGATATGTTCTGCTAAAGCAGAAGGTTGGACTAGATGAGGACCAACCTTAAACAGAGTAGTTAAAATTTGTATATCAATTAACAACCTCTATGGTTTAGTGTGTAGCATGAACCCAGCCTAATGTAAATTTAAGTTGTATAGTTAATAGAACGTCTGCTGTTTTGTATTTTCTCTTTTTGTCATTCTTATAATTAAAGGTAAAGGTTCCCCTTTAAAAAAAAATGTATATCGATTTTTTTTAATCTGCTGTTTCGATTCACACCGAGTTTCATTTGCTGACATTTCAGGGGATTTCCTGTAATTCCTGAACCTATTTATGTCTTGGTGTAACCTTTGGTTGTTTGTGTTGTGGTACACACAGCAGCAGTTGTTACTGTTAACACATTTATTGCAGCAGAAGAAAACCAACAAAAGTCTTATGTTTCTGATTATTTTCCATGACATTTTCAATGTCTCTTCATTTAGCGAGAGAACAACAAAAACCTTATTCCATGTGTTGATTTTACAATCTTGCCCAACTTCTGTGTTAAAGTCAGGGAATGACATTTGATTTTGTTCTGAATAAACATGCATCAGGGTAGGAGAGATTGAAGATTGAATGCTATCGCTTGCAGATTCTTTTTTTCTGTTGAGGATTGAGAAAAACCTTCAGTTCTTACTTCTTGGACGTAGTTTGTGAGGGTGGAGGGCAGTGGTGAAATCCTGCCGGTTCTGTCCGGCTTGCACGAACTGGTAGCGGCGGATGTGCGTGGTTCGGCGAACCAGTAACGGCGACAGCATGAGGCTCCGCCCACCCGACCAGACGTCGTTACTTTCTGGTTTTAACCAGGAAGTAATCAGTTTTTGATCCTCTGCACATGCACAGAAGGCTTTGCACATGCATAGAGGGTCAAAAATCGGATGTGACGATGGCCCATGCACTTCCGAACTGGTAGGGAAGGTAAGTAGATTTCACCCCTGGTGGGAGGGTACCTGACATGTAAGACAGAGAGTAGCATTTAGCAATAGCACTTAGACTCATATACCACTTTACAGTGCTTTACAGCCCTCTCTATGTGGTACAGAGTCAGCCTATTGCCTCCAACAATCTGGGTCCTCATTTTACCAATCTCGGAAGGATGGAAGGCTGAGTCAACGTTGAGCTGATCGGGATTGAACTCCTGATGGGCAAAAAAGTCCATAATAGGCTTGCAGCTGCCGATACACTTAATGTCAATTTCCCTGATGGAAGTTAATTGATCTCATTTCAGTCAAATCTCATTCCTCCATAACAGGTAGAGCGCCCTGCCAATGAAACCAAAGGATCTGTTTAGAAACCTGGCATTTGTCAACTTTCGGAAACTTCACAGCATTTAGCTCCATGGCTGCTTAAGGTGGTAACTTCCCTATCAGATGTCTGTAGAGATTCTCAGTCATCCAGGTCATGGTTGTCCCAAAAGTGCTTTTTTTTTTTTTCCAAGGAGGCAACTGGACTTCTTTGGGGGTTTTTTTGAAGATGTTTCGCTTCTCATCCAAGAAGCTTCTTCAGCTCAGCTTCAGAAGTCCAGTTGCCTCCTGAAAAAAGCAACCTTGGCACGACCAAGACCTGGATGACTGAGAATCTCTACAGACTTTTAGCTATACAATTTGGGATGAAGACCTTTGGAATGGGGTGGGAGTAGGAATGGATTTCCAGAGGAAAAAATTGCATACTACAGGAACCAGGAGCAGCACTCAGGTTACCCTGAGGACACAGATAAAACTCCAAGTGGCCTCAATGACTCTCTAAAAAGGATGCAAATGATCAGCTGTCTGTAAGGAATATAAATCCTTCCATTCCCCACCATCCTGTCAGAGCTGAAGAACCTGCTTTGATGAGAAGTGAAACGTCTTAAAAGAAAGAAACAAAAGTCCAGTCCTGAAAAAAGCACCTTTGGCTTCCCTGTCAGATGTGCCATATCAGCACCAGGAACAGAGGTGCTGCCCCAGCAATGCTGTGCTTGCAGTTTTAGCCAACAGTAAGATGGGTGGCGCTATTTTTTTTTTTTTAATTTGATTTATATGCCGCCCTTCTCCGGAGACTCAGGGCGGCTTACAATACGTTAAGCAATAGCCTTCATTCTTTTGTATATTTTATACAAAGTCAGCTTATTGCCCCCACAAACTGGGTCCTCATTTCACCTACCTTAGAAAGGATGGAAGGCTGAGTCAACCTTGAGCCTTGGAGAGATTCGAACCTGCAGAAATTGCAGGCAGCTGTGTTAATAACAGGGTGCACTAAACCCCTGTACTATCAAGGCTATTAATCTTTACAATTAATTACTGAAATAAACTGCTACAGTTTGTCTCTCAAACATATTAAAACCTCTTACCTGAAACATTAGAGCAGGCTCCCCTTCCCTCAGCTTTCAGTATTACCTCATTTATTGCCTAACATCCTGTTGTTGCCTCTGCAAAGCAAAAGCGAAAGTGAAAGCGCCAGACAAGGGTAGCCTTCTATTGGGATCCTCTCCCAATCTCGGCTCCACATTGAGGCTGTCGCTGGAAGGAGCAAGAGCTGAAGGACCAAAAGGTGAGATAAGCAACTTTGTCTTAGATGAGTTTAACAGCTTCATTCAGTGTGTTGATTTTTATTTTTCCCCCCTTTTCTTTCCTGAAAGTAGCAACTGCCATGGCAGCTCCGTTTCAAAATCCCCAGGATTCATACGCAGACGTTCTGGAGGTGGAAGTGCAGGATACTCAAACTGATCCTGTCTCATGGAAATACGTGATTTATGAGAATCCTGATCGGCCTGGAAATGAAGGTGGAACTCTTTTTCTCTTTAAAAGCCCTAATCCCGGATGTTTGGGGCGCTAAAAATATGTTTCTTTGTCAACTCTTGCCTCTTGTTTTCTTTAGATGCGTTTAACAGCTTCGTTCCATGTATTGAGATCTTTTTTTTTTTCCTTTTCTTTTCTTTCCTGAAAGTAGCAACTGCCAGGCCATATCAAAGGGAAAATCCCTGGACAGTCCCGGACTGGCAAACTGCAGAAGAACCATACAGGTAAGCAGTGCAGCTCACGCACAGGGGAAGTTGTGCCTGCACGCCGGACAGATTCACAAAAACGCAAGGCGCTTGGCTTCCAGGGGAAAAAAAAAAGCGGATTTAGAAGGCGCAGCCCGGCAGCGCTCTTCGCAGGCATCCTGGGCAATCTGGGGCTGGAGGCAGAAGAAATCCCTCCCCCCCTCCCCCAATTCACCCTCCTACCGGTAGAATCTGAAGAGGGGTAAAGAGGGGGTAAAGGCAGCTCTGCCCTCCATCAGGCGCTCCTTTGGGAGGTCCAGCCGTGGCCAAGCCAAATCCACGCGGCTCCCGGCGGCGGCTCCGTCTCAAATCGCGAGCTTGGAAAGCAAGCGCAGCCCCCGTTGATCGGCCGAGTCTGGACAAACAGGCTGCCCGAAGGGGAATTGAGGGGGGGGGGACGAGCTTCCCAGCCGACAGACATCTTGAATTCCAAGGCAGCAACTTCGCCAAGTGCCCCTTGCATGTCCTTTGGGAGTTGGACTACAACTCCCATATTCCCAGGCTACCGTAGCTACGGCTCAGGGTAGCCCCGAAATGACTGGGTCTCTTTTTCTCTTCAAAAACCCTAATCCCGGATGTTTGAGGCGCTAGAAATATGTTTCTTTGTCAACTCTTGGCTCGAGGAGGGAGGGAAGGAGGGAGGGAGAAGGGAGAGGACAAGGAAGGAAGGAAGGAAAAAAGGAAGGAAGGAGAGAGGAAGAAGGGAGGGAGGAGAGGAGGAAGGGAGAAGGGAGGAAGGAAGGAGAGTGTGAGGAAGGAAGGAAGAAGGGAGAGAGGGAGGAAGGGAGGGAGGGAGGTCTAACTGCGTACTAAGAAAATGATGAAACCTTGAAATTGAAAGTGGAAGAAGAATGTGGCTGGCTGAGTTGCCAAAAGACACCACAAATCCAGTTTGAGTCCAACAGCTCACTGTTTAGATGCATTGTTGTGCCTTTGTGTGTGCGTGAATTACTGTTCTTGTATGAGATAACATACAAGAGCAGTAATTGCAAGTTGCTGTAAACTCTGCCTGTGAGAGGAAAAACAAAATCTGCATTGGGGCTCTTTGACAATTGTACAATTGGACCAAAAATGTCTCTGACGGAAAAAAAAAAAGATGCAGGTCTTCACTGATATTTCTAGAATTGCAAAAGAGGAAGCTGCTGCTCAACCAGTTACACTAAAGGGATTCCTCAGCACGATCCTGCTTGGAGAAATTCTTTCCAGGGCAGCTGACAAGAAAGGTAAAATGGGACGCAAACCTGGCTCATTTCTTGGTAAATTTATGGCTTTGAATATGTGGGAATGCCCTCTGGGAAGTTTTGGGGCTCCCCAAATTGTAGGTTTAAATGTGATGGGGGGCACATAGTAAGGGAGCCATGGGGTTAATGGCATTTAATGAATGCATTTATATTCATCTTAAATTGAAACCATCTTCAGATTAAAATCATATCTTTATTATGATGCAAGAGTATAAAGGGACAGCGTACCAACATACCAAGTGTATACTTTGTTGAACCTTCAACAATTACAGCCTTGAGTCTGTTTTGGGTTTGACAGGACAAGCTTTGCACCCCTGGATTGGGGGATTTCCTGCCAGTCTTCCATGGAAATCCTCTCAAGCTAAGTCAGGAGGGATGGTGACCGTGGTGGACAGCCATTTTCAGGTCCCTCCAGAGATGTTCAATGGGTTTCAAGTCAGGGCTCTGGCTGGGCCACTCTAGGACATTCACGGAGTTCTCCCTAAGCCACTCCTGTGTTGCTTCGGCTGTGTGCTTAGGGTTGTTGTCATGTTGGGAAGTGAACCTTTAGCCCAGTCCGAGGCCCGAGGTCCGTTTACTGTAGCCTCCCCCAGATGTGTGCCTTGCAACCATCCTGTCTCTGAGCTCTGCAGGGACTTCCTCTGACCTCCTGGCTTTTGCTCTGCCACAGTAGCATTGTCAGCTGAGAGGTGGAATAAGTCACCCTCTGCTTTCTTAGATGGGGCATTAACAGCTTCATTCCATGTATTTCTTTCTTTTCTTTCTTGAAAGTAGCAACTGCCAGGGAATTGGAGAAGAAAACTGCCAGTGCCCCAAGTGCTCAGGAGGCTTTGTCGGTTGCTGCAAAGGCTGAAACTGCACCTGAAGCACAGGGTAAGCAGGGAAGCTCACGCACTGGTTTTCTCCTGGAATGCAAAAGCACAAGGAAGAAGGTGTCTTCACACCGGACACATTCACAAAAACCTTCATGTTCCCATGTTGCAATCTGCCTCTGCCCTGAGGGGGCTGGCTGGAGGCAGCAGAAATCCCTCCCCACTGACCCTCCCACCAGTAGAATCTGAAGAGGGGTAAAGGGGGTAAAGGCAGCTCTGCCCTCCACCATGCGATCCTTCTGGAGGTCCAGCCATGACCAGGCCAGGCCAAATCCACCCATGCTTCCCGCCGGCCCTTCCACGCTACTCGTTGTCCCTCCGTCTCAGGTCATGAGTGTGGAAAACAAGTGCAGCCCCCGTTGATCAGCCACGTCTGGGTAAACGGTCTGGCCAAAGGAAATGGGGGGGGGGATGGGGGAGGTTCCCAGCTGGCAGGCAGCTTGAATTCCAAGGCGCTAGTCCGCACCGCATGCTCCAACTTCGCCTAGTGCCCCTTGCCTGTCCTCCGGGATATGGACTACAGCTCCCATGTTCCCCAGCCATTGGCCCTGCTACCCTAGCCAGAACTCAAGGAAGCCCAGAAATGACTGGTTCTGTTTTTCTCTTTAAAATCCATTATCTTGGTTGTGTGGGGTGCTAGAAATAGTTTTCTCTGTCAACTCTTGGCTTGAGGCTTCCAAGCTCTGCTGTAGTAGAAAAAGACAGAATATTCTGGGGAGAGAAAGGAGAAGTAGAAGGAGAGAAGGAGGGAAGGAAGGAAAGAAGGAAGGAAGGAGGAGAAAGAAAGAATGAAGGTAGGAAGGAAGGAAGGAAGAGAAAGAAAGAAAGGGAAGGAAGGAAGGAATGAAGGAAGAGAAAGAAAGAAGGAAGGAAAGAAGGTAGGAAGGAAGAATGGAAGGAAGAGAAAGAAAGAAGGAAGGATGGAAGGAAGGAAGGAAGGAAGAGAAAGAAAGAAAGAAAAAGAAAGAAAGAAAGAAGGTAGGTCCAACTGTCTCTGCATACTAAGAAAATGATGAAAGGTAGGAATTTAAAATGGAAGAAGAATGTGCCTGGCTCGGTGATGAGTTGCCAAAACTCACCAGAAATCCAGTTTGAGTCCAACATCCCACTGTTTAGATGTGGGTGGATTGGGGGATTTCCTGACAGTCTTCCTTGGAAATCCTCTCAAGGTCAGTCAGGTGGGATGGTGACCGTGGTGGACAACCATTTTCAGGTCCCTGCAGAGATGTTCAGTGGGTTTTCCATTCAGGGCTCTGGCTGGGCCACTCTAGGACATTCACGGAGTTCTCCCTAAGCCACTCCTGTGTTGCTTCGGCTGTGTGCTGAGGGTCGTTGTCATGTTGGGAAGTGAACCTTCAGCCCAGTCGGAGGCCCTGAGCGCTGTGGAACAGGTTTTCATTGGGGATATCCCTGTTCTTGGATCCGTTCAGCTTCCCCTCCGTCCTGACGGAGGCTCCCAGTCCCTGCTGCTGAAGAGCTCCCCCACAGCATGACGCTGCCACCCTCAGTACAGCAGAAATTTTACTGCAGCCTCCCCCAGATGTGTGCCTTGCAACCATCCTGTCCCTGAGCTCTGCAGGGACTTCCTCTGACCTCCTGGCTTTTGCTCTGCCACAGTCTGCATTGTCAGCTGAGAGGTCGAATAAGTCACCCTCTGCTTTCTTAGATGGGACATTAACAGCTGCATTCCATGAATTTCTTTCTTGAAAGTAGCAACTGCCAGGGAATTGGAGAAGAAAACTGCCAGTGCCCCAGGTGCTCAGGAGGCTGCACCTGAAACACAGGGTAAGCAGTGCAGCTCACTCACTGGTTTTCTCCTGGAATGCAAAAACACAGGGGAGGTTGTGCCTGCACACTGGACACATTCACAAAAACCTTCATGTTCCCATGCTGCCATCTGCCTCTGTCGTGAGGGGGCTGGCTGGAGGCAGCAGAAATTCCCCCCCACTCACCCTCCCACCGGTAGAATCTGAAGAGGGGTAAAGGGGGTAAAGGCAGCTCTGCAGGCAGTTCCTCTGACCTCCTGGCTTTTGCTCTGCCACAGTATGCATTGTCAGCTGAGAGGTGGAATAAGTCACCCTCTGCTTTCTTAGATGGGACATTAACAGCTGCATTCCATGTATTTCTTTCTTTTCCTTCTTGAAAGTAGAAGATGCCAGTGACACACGGGATCATGATTCGTCGCTTGATGAAAATTACGCCGAAACAGAGTGGTAAGCGGTGCAGCTCATGCACTGGTTTTCTCCTGGAATGCAAAAACAGAGGGGAGGTGGTGCCTGCATGCCAGATACATTCACAAATAACTTCATGTACCCGTGTTGCAATCTGCCTCTGCCCGAGGGGGCTGGCTGGAGGCAGCAGAAATCCCCCCCAATCCTCCTCCCACAGGTAGAATCTGAAGAGGGTTAAATGGGGTTAAAGGCAGCTCTGCTCTCCACCATGTGCTCCTTTCGGAAGTCCAGCAATGGCCCAACCAGGCCAAATCAGCCTCACTTCAAACCAGCCCTTCGATGCGGCTCGCAGAGTCTCTGTCTAAGGTTGCGAGCATGGAAAGCAAGCGCAGCCCCCATTGATAGGCCAGGATTTGGAGGAAGGAGGAGGGAGGAGAGGAGGGAGGGAGAGGGGAAGGAAGGAAGGAAGGAAGGTCCAACTGTCTCTGCATATTAAGAAAATGATGAAAGGTAGAAATTGAAAATGGAAGAAAAATATGCCTGGCTGAGTTGTCAAAACACACCATAAATCCAGTTTGAGTCCAAGATCGCACTGTTTAGATGTATTTGTGCGTCTTTGTGGACGTGCACGAATTACTGTTCTTGTATGAGATAATAGTAATGCAAGTTGCTGTAAACTCTGTCTGTGAGAGGAAAAACAAGATCTGCATTGGGGCTCTTTTACAATTGTTTCAGGACCGAAAACCTGTCTGTGGAAGACACGACGCAGATCCTCACCGATATGTTTTCAAATCTGAATGACTTTTCTTCCAGTCTTCCTTGGAAATCCTCTCAAGGTCAGTCAGGTGGGATGGTGACCATGGTGGACAGCCATTTTCAGGTCCCTCCAGAGATGTTCAGTGGGTTTCAAGTCAGGGCTCTGGCTGGGCCACTCTAGGACATTCACGGAGTTCTCCCTAAGCCACTCCTGTGTTGCTTCGGCTGTGTGCTGGTTTTGCCAAACTTCTTCCACTTGAGAATTATGGAGGCCACTGAGCTCTTAGGAACCTTCAGTGCAGCAGAAATTTTACAGCAGCCTCCCCCAGATGTGTGCCTTGCAACCATCCTGTCTCTGAGCTCTGCAGGGACTTCCTTTGATCTCCTGGCTTTTGCTCTGCCACAGTCTGCATTGTCAGCTGAGAGGTGGAATAAGTCACCCTCTGCTTTCTTAGACGGGACATTAACAGCTGCATTCCATGTATTTCTTTCTTTTCTTTCTTGAAAGTAGCAACTGCCAGGGAATTGGAGAAGAAAACTGCCAGTGCCCCAGGTGCTCAGGAGGCTTTGTCGGTTGCTGCAAAGGCTGAAACTACACCTGAAGCACAGGGTAAGCAGGGAAGCTCACGCACTGGTTTTCTCCTGGAATGCAAAAGCACAAGGAAGAAGGTGTCTTCACACCGGACACATTCACAAAAACCTTCATGTTCCCATGCTGCCATCTGCCTCTGTCGTGAGGGGGCTGGCTGGAGGCAGCAGAAATTCCCCCCACTCACCCTCCCACCGGTAGAATCTGAAGAGGGGTAAAGGGGGTAAAGGCAGCTCTGCAGGGACTTCCTCTGACCTCCTGGCTTTTGCTCTGCCACAGTATGCATTGTCAGCTGAGAGGTGGAATAAGTCACCCTCTGCTTTCTTAGATGGGACATTAACAGCTGCATTCCATGTATTTCTTTCTTTCTTTCAAGTAGCCACTGCCAGTGACACACGGGATCATGATTTGTCGCTTGATGAAAATTACGCCGAAACAGAGTGGTAAGCGGTGCAGCTCATGCACTGGTTTTCTCCTGGAATGCAAAAACAGAGGGGAGGTGGTGGCTGCATGCCAGATACATTCACAAATACCTTCATGTACCCGTGTTGCAATCTGCCTCTGCCCAGGGGGGCTGGCTGGAGGCAGCAGAAATCCCCCCCACTCACCCCCCCCACCAGCAGAATTTGAAGAGGGTTAAATGGGGTTAAAAGCAGCTCTGCTCTCCACCATGTGCTCCTTTCGGAGGTCCAGCGATGGCCCAACCAGGCCAAATCAGCCTCACTTCCCACCAGCCCTTCGATGCGGCTCGCAGAGTCTCCGTCTAAGGTTGCGAGCATGGAAAGCAAGCGCAGCCCCCATTGATAGGCCAGGATTTGGCAAATTGGCTGCCCGAAGGGGAATGTGGGTGTGGGGGGAAAGCAGCTTCACAGCTGGCCGGCAGCTTCAATTCCAAGGCAACAAATTCGCCAAGTGCCCCTTGCATGTCCTTTGGGAGTTGGACTACAACTCCCATATTCCCAGGCTACCGAAGCTACGGCTCAGGGAAGCCCTGAAATGACTGGCTCTCTTTTTATCTTTAAAATCCGTTATCCTGGACGCTTGTGCCGCTAGAAATATGTTTCTCTGTCAACTCTTGGCGTGAGGAGGGAGGGAGGAAGGAAGAAGACATAGGGCAAGGAAGGAAGGAAGAAAGGAATGAGGGAGAGAGGGAGGAAGAAAGGAAAAAGGAGGGAGGGAGAGGGGAAGGAAGGAAGGAAGGAAGATCCAACTGTCTCTGCATATTAAGAAAATGATGAAAGGTAGAAATTGAAAATGGAAGAAGAATATGCCTGGCTGAGTTGTCGAAACTCACCACAAATCCAGTTTGAGTCCAACATCGCACTGTTTAGATGTATTTGTGTGTCTTTGTGGACGTGCATGAATTACTGTTCTTGTATGAGATAATAGTAAGGCAAGTTGCTGTAAACTCTGTGAGAGGAAAAACAAGATCTTTATAGTATCTTGAAGAGCCTTGATAGTACAGTGGTATACGCACCCTGTTATTAACACAGCTGCCTGCAATTTCTGCTGGTTCGAATCTCTCCAAGGCTCAAGGTTGACTCAGCCTTCCATCCTTTCTAAGGTAGGTGAAATGAGGACCCAGTTTGTGGGGGCAATAAGCTGACTTTGTATAAAATATACAAAAGAATGAAGGCTATTGCTTAACGCATTGTAAGCCGCCCTGAGTCTCCGGAGAAGGGTGGCATATAAATCAAATTAAAAAAAAAAAAATCTGCATTGGAGCTCTTTTATAATTGTTTCAGGACCGAAAACCTGTCTGTGGAAGACACGATGCAGATCCTCACCGATATGTTTACAAATCAGAATGACTTTTCTTCCAGTCTTCCTTGGAAATCCTCTCAAGGTCAGTCAGGTGGGATGGTGACCGTGGTGGACAGCCATTTTCAGATCCCCCCAGAGATGTTCAGTGGGTTTCAAGTCAGGGCTCTGGCTGGGCCACTCTAGGACATTCACGGAGTTCTGCCTAAGCCACTCCTGTGTTGCTTCGGCTGTGTGCTTAGAGTCGTTGTCATGTTGGGAATTGAACCTTCAGCCCACTCGGAGGCCCTGAGCGCTGTGGAACAGGTTTTCATTGGGGATATCCCTGTTCTTGGATCCGTTCAGCTTCCCCTCCGTCCTGACGGAGGCTCCCAGTCCCTGCTGCTGAAGAGCTCCCCTCCACAGCATGACGCTGCCACCCTCCACCCTCCTTCATTGCTGGGAGGGAATTGGGCAGACGATGAGTGGTGCCTGGTTTCCTCAGACATCATGCTCAGAAAGAGGCTGAAGAGTCCAACCGTGGTTTCATCAGAGCAGGGAATCTGGTTCTTGGCAGCCTGGGGGTCCTACGGGGGCTTCTTTTGCCAACTCCCTGCAGGCTTCCATGTCTTTTGCACTGAGGAGAGGCTCCCGTCTATCCACGCTGCCATAAAGCCCAGATCAGCGGAGGGCTGCAGTGACGGTTGTCCTTCTGGAAGTCTGTCCATCTCCACACAGGAGTTCTGGAGCTAGTCAGAGGGACCATTGGGGTCTTGGTCTCCTCTCACACTAAGGTCTTCCTCCCCTGATTGCTCAGTTTGAGCAGAGGACCAGCCCATGGAAGAGTCCTGGTTTTGCCAAACTTCTTCCATTTGAGAATTATGGAGGCCACTGAGCTCTTAGGGACGTTCAGTGCAGCAGAAATTTTACAGCAGCCCTCCCCCAGATGTGTGCCTTGCAACCATCCTGTCCCTGAGCTCTGCAGGGACTTCCTCTGACCTCCTGGCTTTTGCTCTGCCCACAGTCTGCATTGTCAGCTGAGAGGTGGAATAAGTCACCCTCTGCTTTCTTAGACGGGACATTAACAGCTGCATTCCATGTATTTCTTTTCTTTCTTGAAAGTAGAAGATGCCAGTGACACATGGGATCATGATTTGTCGCTTGATGAAAATTACGCCGAAACAGAGTGGTAAGCGGTGCAGCTCATGCACTGGTTTTCTCCTGGAATGCAAAAACAGAGGGGAGGTGGTGCCTGCATGCCAGATACATTCACAAATACCTTCATGTACCCGTGTTGCAATCTGCCTCTGCCCGAGGGGGCTGGCTGGAGGCAGCAGAAATCCCCCCCCACTCACCCCCCCACCGGCAGAATTTGAAGAGGGTTAAATGGGGTTAAAGGCAGCTCTGCTCTCCACCATGTGCTCCTTTCGGAAGTCCAGCGATGGCCCGGCCAGGCCAAATCATCCTCACTTCCCACCAGCCCTTCGATGCGGCTCGCAGAGTCTCCGTCTAAGGTTGCGAGCATGGAAAGCAAGCGCAGCCCCCATTGATAGGCCAGGATTTGGCAAATTGGCTGCCCGAAGGGGAATGTGGGTGTGGGGGGAAAGCAGCTTCACAGCTGGCCGGCAGCTTGAATTCCAAGGCAGCAACTTGGCCAAGTGCCCCTTGCATGTCCTTTGGGAGTTGGACTACAACTCCCATATTCCCAGGCTACCGAAGCTACGGCTCAGGGAAGCCCCAAAATGACTGGCTCTCTTTTTCTCTTTAAAGTCCGTTATCTTGGGTGTTTGGGGTGCTAGAAATATTTTTCTCTGTCAACTCTCGGCTCAAGGCTTCCAAGCCCTGCTGTAGTAAAAAAAGGCAGAATATTCTGGGAAGAGAAAGGGAGAAGGAGAGTGAGTGAGCGAGTGAGTGAGTGAGGAAGGAAGGAAGGAAGGAAGATCCAACTGTCTCTGCATATTAGGAAAATGATGAAAGGTAGAAATTGAAAATGGAAGAAGAATATGCCTGGCTGAGTTGTCGAAACTCACCACAAATCCAGTTTGAGTCCAACATCGCACTGTTTAGATGTATTTGTGTGTCTTTGTGGACGTGCATGAATTACTGTTCTTGTATGAGATAATAGTGAGGCAAGTTGCTGTAAACTCTGTCTGTGAGAGGAAAAACAAGATCTGCATTGGGGCTCTTTTACAATTGTTTCAGGACCGAAAACCTGTCTGTGGAAGAAGAGATGCTGCACCGAACCAATATTTCTAGAAGGGAAAAAATTGGTGTTGCTGTTACAACATCTAGAAGAAAGGAATTACTGAAGACAGCCCTGATTAGAGTTGCTGCTGTCCTGGGAGTTGGACTGGTAGCTGTAACGGCAAGAACATTTGTCTCCTCCTTTGGTAAATGTATGGCTTCAGATATGTAGAAAAGTGCTGGCTGGGAAGTTTTGGGCCCCCTAATTGTAGGTTTAAATGTGATGGGGGGGCACATATTAATGATCGGGAGAGAGCCATGGGGTTAATGAATGCATCTATATTCTGCTATATATAATGCTGCCATAAAGCCCAGATCAGTGGAGGGCTGCAGTGACGGTTGTCCTTCTGGAAGTCTCTCCCATCTCCACGCAGGAGCTCTGGAGCTAGTCAGAGGGACCATCGGGGTCTTGGTCTCCTCTCATACTAAGGTCTTCCTCCCCTGATTGCTCAGTTTGAGCAGAGGACCAGCCCATGGGAGAGTCCTGGTTTTGCCAAACTTCTTCCATTTGAGAATTATGGAGGCCACTGAGCTCTTAGGAACGTTCAGTGCAGCAGAAAGTTTACTGCAGCCTCCCCCAGATGTGTGCCTTGCAACCATCCTGTCTCTGAGCTCTGCAGGGACTTCCTCTGACCTCCTGGCTTTTGCTCTGCCACAGTCTGCATTGTCAGCTGAGAGGTGGAATAAGTCACCCTCTGCTTTCTTAGATGGGACATTAACAGCTGCATTCCATGTATTTCTTTTCTTTCTTGAAAGTAGCAACTGCCATGAAATTGGAGAAGAAAACTGCCAGTGCCCCAGGTGCTCAGGAGGCTGCACCTGAAAAACAGGGTAAGCAGTGCAGCTCACTCACTGGTTTTCTCCTGGAATGCAAAAACACAGGGGAGGTTGTGCCTGCACATTGGACAGATTCACAAATACCTTCATGTTCCCATGCTGCAATCTGCCTCTGCCCTGAGGGGGCTGGAGGCAGCAGAAATCCCCCCACTCACCCTCCCACCGGTAGAATCTGAAGAGGGGTAAAGGGGGTAAAGCAGCTCTGCCCCTCCACCATGCGATCCTTCCAGAGGTCCAGCCACGACCAGGCCAGGCCAAATCCACCCACGCTTCCCTTCCATGCTACTCGTCGTCCCTCTGTCTCAGGTCATGAGTGTGGAAAAGAAACGCAGCCCCCGTTGATCGGCCACATCTGGGGAACCGGTCTGGCCAAAGGGGAATAGGAGGGGGGAGGTTCCCAGCTGGCAGGCAGCTTGAATTCCAAGGTTCTAGTCCGCACCTCATGTGGCAACTTTGACAAGTGGCCCTTGCCTGTCCTCCGGGATATGGACTACAGCTCCCATGTTCCCTGGCCAATGGCCATGATACTGCAATTGGGCTCAGGGAAGCCCTGAGATGACTGGCTCTGTTTTTGTCTTTAAAATCCGTTATCTTGGTTGTGTGGGGTGCTAGAAATATTTATCTTTGTCAACTCTTGGCTCGAGGCTTCCAAGCTCTGCTGTAGTAGAAAAACACAGAATATTTTGGGAAGAGAAAGGAGAAGTAGAAGGAGGGATGGAGGGAGGGAAGGAAGGAAGGAAGGAAGGAAGGAAGAGAAAGAATGAAAGAAAGAAAGAAGATAGGAAGGAAGGAGGGAAGGCAAAGAAAGGAAGGAAGGAAGGAAGAGAAAAAGAAAGGGAAGGATGGAAGGAAGGAAGAGAAAGAAAGAAAGTAGATAGGAAGGAAGGAAGAGGAAGGAAAGAAGGTAGGTAGGAAGGAAGGAATGAAGGGAGAGAAAGAAGGTAGGAAGGAAGGATGGAAGGAAGAGAAAGAAAGAAAGAAAAGAAAGAAAGAAAGAAGGTCCAACTGTCTCTGCATACTAAGAAAATGAAAGGTAGGAATTAAAAATGGAAGAAGAATGTGCCTGGCTGGGGGATGAGTTGCCAAAACTCACCAGAAATCCAGTTTGAGTCCAACATCCCACTGTTTAGATGTGGGTGGATTGGGGGATTTCCTGACAGTCTTCCTTGGAAATCCTCTCAAGGTCAGTCAGGTGGGATGGTGACCGTGGTGGACAGCCATTTTCAGGTCCCTGCAGAGATGTTCAGTGGGTTTTCCATTCAGGGCTCTGGCTGGGCCACTCTAGGACATTCACGGAGTTCTCCCTAAGCCACTCCTGTGTTGCTTCGGCTGTGTGCTGGTTTTGCCAAACTTCTTCCACTTGAGAATTATGGAGGCCACTGAGCTCTTAGGGACGTTCAGTGCAGCAGAAAGTTTACTGCAGCCTCCCCCAGATGTGTGCCTTGCAATCATCCTGTCTCTGAGCTCTGCAGGGACTTCCTCTGACCTCCTGGCTTTTGCTCTGCCACAGTCTGCATTGTCAGCTGAGAGGTGGAATAAGTCACCCTCTGCTTTCTTAGATGGGGCATTAACAGCTGCATTCCATGTATTTCTTTTCTTTCTTGAAAGTAGCACTTGCCATGAAATTCATCAATAGTATTGCCAGCGCCCTATCTAATGAGGCCATGAAATTCTTCAAAGAATTTGTCAGTGCAGTTGGGAAGCCTTTACTGGTTGCTGGAAGACCAGAATCCCAAGGCAAAATAAACGGTAAGCCGTGCAGCTCACTCACTGGTTTTCTCCTGGAATGCAAAAACACAGGGGAGGTTGTGCCTGCACACTGGACACATTCACAAATACCTTCATGTTCCCATGCTGCAATCTGCCTCTGCCCTGAGGGGGCTGGAGGCAGCAGAAATCCCCCCCACTCACCCTCCCACCGGGAGAATCTGAAGAGGGGTAAAGGAGGTAAAGGCAGCTCTGCCCTCCACCATGCGATCCTTCCGGTGGTCCAGCCACGAGCAGGTCAGGCCAAATCCACCCACGCTTCCTGCCATCCCTCCGTCTCAGGTCATGAGTGTGGAAAACAAGCGCAGCCCCCGTTGATCGGCCGTGTCTGGGCAAACGGTCCGGCCAAAGGGGAATGGGGGGAGGGGAGTTCCCAGCTGGCAAGCAGCTTGAATTCCAAGGTTCTAGTCCACGCCTCATGTGGCAACTTTGACAAGTGGCCCTTGCCTGTCCTCCGGGATATGGTTTTTGACAGCCTGAGGGTCCTACGGGGGCTTCTTTTGCCAACTTCCTGCAGTCTTTCATGTCTTTTGCACTGAGGAGAGGCTCCCGTCTATCCACGCTGCCATAAAGCCCAGATCAGTGGAGGGCTGCAGTGACGGTTGTCCTTCTGGAAGTCTCTCCCATCTCCACGCAGGAGCTCTGGAGCTAGTCAGAGGGACCATCGGGGTCTTGGTCACCACTCATACTAAGGTCTTCCTCCCCTGATTGCTCAGTTTGAGCAGAGGACCAGCCCATGGAAGAGTCCTGGTTTTGCCAAACTTCTTCCATTTGAGAATTATGGAGGCCACTGAGCTCTTAGGAACGTTCAGTGCAGCAGAAAGTTTACAGCAGCCTCCCCCAGATGTGTGCCTTGCAACCATCCTGTCCCTGAGCTCTGCAGGGACTTCCTCTGACCTCCTGGCTTTTGCTCTGCCACAGTCTGCATTGTCAGCTGAGAGGTGGAATAAGTCACCCTCTGTTTTCTTAGATGGGACATTAACAGCTGCATTCCATGTATTTCTTTTCTTTTCTTTCTTGAAAGTAGCAACTGCCATGAAATTGGTCAGCAAAATTGCCAGTGCCGTATCTGATGAGAAGCCTTTTCAGGTTGCTGGAAAACCAGAATCTCAAGACAAAATAAACGGTAAGCCGTGCAGCTCAGTCACTGGTTTTCTCCTGGAATGCAAAAACACAGGGAGGTTGTGCCTGCACACTGGACACATTCAGAAATACCTTCATGTTCCCATGCTGCAATCTACCTCTGCCCTGAGGGGGCTGGAGGCAGCAAAAAATCCTCCCCACTCACCCTCCCACCGGTAGAATCTGTGGAGGGGTAAAGGGGGTAAAGGCAGCTCTGCCCTCCACCATGCGATCCTTTCGGAAGTCCAGCCACAGCCAGGCCAGGCCAAATCTGGCATCTCCGTCTCAGGTTAATTCAATTATTCAACTTATATACCGCCCTTCTCCCCAGGGGGACGCAGGGCGGTGGACAGCCAAACTTAAAACACATATAGTACAAAAGTTAATAAAAAACTAAAATGAATTAAGAAATAAGTCACCCTCTGCTTTCTTAGATAGGACATTCACAGCTGCATTCCATGCATTTCTTTTCTTTTCTTTCTTGGAAGTAGAACTTGCCAGGAAATTCTTCCACGAAACTGCCAGTGCCATATGTGATGAGGCCATGAAATTCTTCAGCGAATTTCCCAGTGCCATTTCTGATGAGAAGCCTTTTCCGGTTGCTGGAATGCCAGAATCTCAAGGCAATATAAAAGGTAAGCAGTACAGCTCACTCACTGGTTTTCTCCTGGACTGCAAAAACACAGGGGAGGTTGTGCCTGCACACTGGACACATTCACAAATACCTTCATGTTCCCATGTTGCAATCTGCCTCTTCCCTGAGGGGGCTGGCTGGAGGCAGCAGAAATTCCCCCTCACTCACCCTCCCACCGGTAGAATCTGAAGAGGGGTAAAGGAGGTAAAGGCAGCTCTGCCATCCACCATGCGATCCTTCCGGAGGTCCAGCCACAGCCAGGCCAGGCCAAATCTGGCATCTCCGTCTCAGGTTGAGCCTGGAAAGGAAGCCAGCCCCATCTTGATCGGCCATTTCCGGGCAAACAGGCTGCCTAAAGGGGAATGGGGGCGGGGGGACAGCAGCTTCGCAGCCAGAAGGCAGCTTGAATTCTAAGCTAGTCCGTACCTCACGCTCCAACTTCGCCTAGTGCCCCTTGCCTGTCCTCCGGGACTTGGACTACAGCTCCCCTGTTCCCCAGCCATTGGCCCTGCTACCCTAGCCAGAACTCAAGGAAGCCCAGAAATGATTCGTTCTGTTTTTCTCTTTAAAATCCATTATCTTGGGTGTGTGGGGTGCTAGAAATATTTATCTCTGTCAACTCTTGGCTTGAGGCTTAGTAGAAAAAGACAGAATATTCTGGGGAGAGAAAGGAGAAGTCGAAGGAGAGAGGGAGGGAGGGAAGGAAGGAAAGAAGGTAGGATGGAAGGAAGGAAGATTGGAAGGAAGGAAGGAGGAGAAAGAAAGAATGAAGGTGGGAAGGAAGGAAGAGAAAGAAAGAAGGAAGGAAAGAAGGTAGGAAGGAAGAATGGAAGGAAGAGAAAGAAAGAAGGAAGGCTGCAGTGACGGTTGTCCTTCTGGAAGTCTCTCCCATCTCCACGCAGGAGCTCTGGAGCTAGTCAGAGGGACCATCGGGGCCTTGGTCTCCTCTCATACTAAGGTCTTCCTTCCCTGATTGCTCAGTTTGAGCAGAGGACCAGCCCATGGGAGAGTCCTGGTTTTGCCAAACTTCTTCCATTTGAGAATTATGGAGGCCGCTGAGCTCTTAGGAACGTTCAATGCAGCAGAAAGTTTACAGCAGCCTCCCCCAGATGTGTGCCTTGCAACCATCCTGTCCCTGAGCTCTGCAGGGACTTCCTCTGACCTCCTGGCTTTTGCTCTGCCACAGATGGGATTAACAGCTTCATTCCATGTATTTCTTTCTTTTCTTTCTTGAAAGTAGCAACTGCCTTGAAATTCGGCAGCGAAACTGCCAGTGCCATATGGGATGAGGCCAGGGAATTGGCCAGCGAATTTCCCAGTGCCCTATCTGATGAGGACCCTTTTACAGTTCCTAGAAGGCCAGAATTTCAAGCCAAAATGAACGGTAAGCCGTGCAGCTCGCACACTGGTTTTCTCCTGGAATGCAAAAACACAAGGGAGGTTGTGCCTGCACACTGGACACATTCACAAATACCTTCATGTTCCCTTGCTGCAATCTGCCTCTTCCCTGAGGGAGCTGGCTGGAGGCAGCAGAAATTCCCCCCCACTCACCCTCCCACCGGTAGAATCTGAAGAGGGGTAAAGGGGGTAAAGGCAGCTCTGCCATCCACCATGTGCTCCTTTCGGAAGTCCAGCCACAGCCAGGCCAGGCCAAATCTGGCATCTCCGTCTCAGGTTGAGCCTGGAAAGGAAGCCAGCCCCATGTTGATCGGCCATTTCCGGGCAAACAGGCTGCCTAAAGGGGAATGGGGGGGGGGGACAGCAGCTTCGCAGCCAGAAGGCAGCTTGAATTCTAATCTAGTCCACACTGCATGCTCCAACTTCGCCTAGTGCCCCTTGCCTGTCCTCCGGGACTTGGACTACAGCTCCCCTGTTCCCCAGCCATTGGCTCTGCTACCCTAGCCAGAACTCAAGGAAGCCCAGAAATGACTGGTTCTGTTTTTCTCTTTAAAATCCATTATCTTGGGTGTGTGGGGTGCTAGAAATATTTATCTCTGTCAACTCTTGGCTTGAGGCTTAGTAGAAAAAGACAGAATATTCTGGGGAGAGAAAGGAGAAGTCGAAGGAGAGAGGGAGGGAGGGAAGGAAGGAAAGAAGGTAGGATGGAAGGAAGATTGGAAGGAAGGAAGGAGGAGAAAGAAAGAATGAAGGTGGGAAGGAAGGAAGAGAAAGAAAGAAGGAAGGAAAGAAGGTAGGAAGGAAGAATGGAAGGAAGAGAAAGAAAGAAGGAAGGCTGCAGTGACGGTTGTCCTTCTGGAGGTCCCTCCCATCTCCACACAGGAGCTCTGGAGCTAGTCAGAGGGACCATCGGGGCCTTGGTCTCCTCTCATACTAAGCTCTTCCTCCCCTGATTGCTCAGTTTGAGCAGAGGACCAGCCCATGGGAGAGTCCTGGTTTTGCCAAACTTCTTCCATTTGAGAATTATGGAGGCCGCTGAACTCTTAGGAACGTTCAATGCAGCAGAAAGTTTACAGCAGCCTCCCCCAGATGTGTGCCTTGCAACCATCCTGTCCCTGAGCTCTGCAGGGACTTCCTCTGACCTCCTGGCTTTTGCTCTGCCACAGTCTGCATTGTCAGCTGAGAGGTGGAACAAGTCACCCTCTGCTTTCTTAGATGGGACATTAACAGCTGCATTCCATGTATTTCTTTTCTTTCTTGAAAGTAGCACTTGTCATGAAATTCGGCAGCGAAATTGCCAGTGACGTAAGTCATGAGGCCATGAAATTCTTCAGCGAAATTGCCAGTGCCGTATCTGATGAGGAGCCTTTTTTGGTTGCTGGAAGGCCAGAATCTCAAGGCAAAATGAACGGTAAGCAGTGCAGCTCACTCACTGGTTTTCTCCTGGAATGCAAAAACACAGGGAGGTTGTGCCTGCACACTGGACACATTCACAAATACCTTCATGTTCCCATGCTGCAATCTGCCTCTGCCCTGAGGGGGCTGGAGGCAGCAAAAAATCCTCCCCACTCACCCTCCCACCGGGAGAATCTGAAGAGGGGTAAAGGGGGTAAAGGCAGCTCTGCCCTCCACCATGTGGAGCCATGACCAGGCCAGGCCAAATACACCCACGCTTCCCGCCGGCCCTCCGTCTCAGGTCATGAGTGTGGAAAACAAGTGCAGCCCCCATTAATCGGCCGCGTCTGGGCAAACGGTCCGGCCAAAGGGGAATAGGAGGGGGGGAGGTTCCCAGCTGGCAGGCAGCTTGAATTCCAAGGCGCTAGTCCATGCTCATGTGGCATGTGGCAGGAATGTTGAGTGCAGCAGAAATTTTACTGCAGCCTCCCCCAGATGTGTGCCTTGCAACCATCCTGTCCCTGAGCTCTGCAGGGACTTCCTCTGACCTCCTGGCTTTTGCTCTGCCACAGTCTGCATTGTCAGCTGAGAGGTGGAATAAGTCACCCTCTGTTTTCTTAGACGGGATTAACAGTTTCATTCCATGTATTTCTTTCTTGAAAGTAGCAACTGCCAGGGAATTGGTCAGCAAAATTGCCAGTGCCCTATCTGATGAGGAGCCTTTTCCGGTTGCTGGAAGGTCAGAATCTCAAGGCAAAATAAACGGTAAGCAGTGCAACTCACACACTGGTTTTCTCAAGTTCAGCCACAGTCAGGCCAAGCCAAATCCACCCACGCTTCCCGCCGGCCCTCCGTCTCAGGTCATGAGTGTGGAAAACAAGCGCAGCCCCCGTTGATCAGCCGCGTCTGAGCAACCGGTCTGGCCAAAGGGGAATAGGAGGGGGGGAGGTTCCCAGCTGGCAGGCAGCTTGAATTCCAAGGCGCTAGTCCACGCTCATGTGGCATGTGGCAGGAATGTTGAGTGCAGCAGAAATTTTACTGCAGCCTCCCCCAGATGTGTGCCTTGCAACCATCCTGTCTCTGAGCTCTGCAGGGACTTCCTCTGACCTCCTGGCTTTTGCTCTGCCACAGTCTGCATTGTCAGCTGAGAGGTGGAATAAGTCACCCTCTGCTTTCCTAGACGGGACATTAACAGCTGCATTCCATGTATTTCTTTCTTGAAAGTAGCAACTGCCAGGGAATTGGTCAGCAAAATTGCCAGTGCCCTATCTGATGAGGAGCCTTTTCCGGTTGCTGGAAGGTCAGAATCTCAAGGCAAAATAAACGGTAAGCAGTGCAACTCACACACTGGTTTTCTCAAGCCCAGCCACAGTCAGGCCAGGCCAAATCCACCCACGCTTCCCGCCGGCCCTCCGTCTCAGGTCATGAGTGTGGAAAACAAGCGCAGCCCCCGTTGATCGGCCGCGTCTGAGCAACCGGTCTGGCCAAAGGGGAATGGGGGGGGGGAGGTTCCCAGCTGGCAGGCAGCTTGAATTCCAAGGCACTAGTCCACGCCTCATGTGGCAACTTTGACAAGTGGCCCTTGCCTGTCCTCCGGGATATGGACTACAGCTCCCATGTTCCCCGGCCATTGGCCATGCTACCTGGCTAGGGCTCAGGGAAGCCCTGAGATGATTGGCTCTGTTTTTCTCTTTAAAATCCATTATCTTGGGTGTGTGGGGTGCTAGAAATATTTATCTCTGTCAACTCTTGGCTTGATTCTTTCGAGCTCTGCTGTAGTAGAAAAAGGCAGAATATTTTGGGAAGAGAAAGGAGAAGTAGAAGGAGGGAGGGAGGGAAGGAAGGAAAGAAGTTAGGATGGAAGGAAGGGAGGAAGAGAAAGAAAGAAAGAAGGATGGAAGGAAGAGAAAGAAAGAAAAGAAAGAAAAAGAAAGAAATCTCGTTCTTGGCAGCCTGATGGTCCTACGGGGGCTTCTTTTGCCAACTCCCTGCAGGCTTCCATGTCTTTTGCACTGAGGAGAGGCTCCCGTCTATCCACGCTGCCATAAAGCCCAGATCAGTGGAGGGCTGCAGTGACGGTTGTCCTTCTGGAAGTCTGTCCCATCTCCACACAGGAGCTCTGGAGCTAGTCAGAGGGACCATCGGGGTCTTGGTCTCCTCTCATATTAAGGTCTTCCTCCCCTGATTGCTCAGTTTGAGAAGAGGACCAGCCCATGGGAGACTCCTGGTTTTGCCAAACTTCTTCCGTTTGAGAATTATGGAGGCCGCTGAGCTCTTGAATATTTTCTGAATACACAGTAGAGAATAGAAGGCAGAGAAAAAGTGGGAAACTAAAGGGAATGGCATACAAAAGATACATGGATAAACTAAAAAGATGCAAAAGAGGACAATGTAGCTGAAAAATATCCCAGAGCCGTGGGCTGCCAAGCTGGATTTTTAGGTGCATTAGAAAAGTTGCTGCTGGAATTTGCAAATAATAGAGTGCTTCTATTGTCCAAGGATGGTTTGCCAGAGAGTTGAAAGATAGACTGTTGGTTCTCTTTTTCTAGGAGCTGGTGCTGGTGGCGATGCTGCAGCTGGGGACAGGAAAAAGTCCCGAACGATCCTGTCCATTCCTCAGCTTCTCAGGAAATTGTCTTATGAGCAGAAGATGCTGCTTCGCCAACGTACTACTCCTGTTATTCAGAATATGGGCTTCAGGAACATGACCGAATTCAAAAACAAAGTCAAGGAGAACAGTAACCTTAAAATGAGATTTGTTGAAATGTTGGAAGACTATGTTGCTAATGACCTCCAAGGGGTGGTTAAGGAATGCCGAGTGACTTATATTGGACATTGTATGTTCAGTGAATCCTCTTTAAGTTAGAATGAGACACCTCTGTTAGGATGGGAGCAAGTGGTGATGTCATCAAGGTGCAAAGATAGAAGTCCCTACCTTTGCACCAGGATGACATCACTGTTTGCTGCCCTCTAGCAGATGTGCATCAGCTAGCTGAATAAAGGTAGACTGAACAGATGTAGTCACCCTTTCCTGGCCTGTTAGAAGTTCTGGATTTGGGACCAATTGTCCTATCCACATACATTTTTGATTCTCTGATATAAATCTGACCATTGTTGGCTATGTAGCAGACGATTCATCTCAGAAATTTTTCCTGAAGAGAAATGCAAATTGAACTGAATTTTAATGTGAACTACCAAGTTTTTAGGACCGTTATTCCCCTTCCTTTAGAGATGCCTTCCCAGTTAGAAATCATACACGATTAAAGGTCTATCGTGCAGGATCTGGCTGTACGTTTCAGGAAGGGAATAGATTCAAGCTTTTAGATAAGGTTTCACCAAAGTTTTCAAAGCCTACTCTGAAACATGATAATAATGTGCTTGTAATCATAGAGAATATAAGCCAATCATAAAATCATATCTGTGTGAGATTCATAGCTTTATTGACAGATTTAAGCTTTTAGATAAGGTTTCCAGCAAAGGCTTCTTTCAAAGTCTACTCTGAAACATGATAATAATGTGCTTGTAATGATGGAGAATATAAGCCAATCATAAAATAATATCTGTGTAAGATTCATAGCTTTATTGACAGATTCAAGCTTTTAGATAAGGTTTCCACCAATCTCTAAATAAGCCCAATAAGCTAGTAGTATTTGTACTCTGACTAGCAGCTTTACAATAAATTGATTTGAATTCTAATGAAATGGGTTTTTCTATGTTTCAGTGGTATTTATTTATGTATTAAATTTGTATGGTGCCCATCTTGCCTGGAAGCAACTCTAGGTGGCCAGTATTACCTTCCTAAAAATGTGTTTGCATATCAGTCAGGTGTTAATCCAAACAAAAACACATTGGTTCAAACGAAATATAAAGGCCAGGTGTATAGAGCACAATAAGATATAGTCTATTTCATTTTGGGTTATTAAGTAAATTACATTTGGCTTTTCAATTGTTGGAAGAAATGATCACTGGGGATATCCCTGTACGGATCTAGGACTTTTCGGCTCGAACTCTTGGTGCTACCTGTTTCTCCACCAGGATTTCGCCTCCGCATTATTACGTCTCGGCACTTTGGGCCACGGCCCCTCCGTCCAAGTCCCTTCACTGCGGCCCAATCGTCGCACTACAGTTCACATTGGGTTTTTGGGCACAGAGGACAGTTCGAAGCCAGCCAATCGGTGCAGGGATTCGGCGGCTTTGGGAGTAGAGCGGGGGCTGCAGTTCAGAGGGAGGCTCTGTCAGTTTGGAGCCTCCCGAGGCGGCTGAGAGCAGCGCGGGGGAGGGATCCAGCCACAAAAGATGGGGGAGGGGGGCTGTAGAGGTTCCCAGGGCATCTCCCTGTGGAAGAGGGGGCTGGGAGGCGGCAAAGGTATTTTGTTAGTAGGGCTTGGGGCTCTGCCCCCCTATCCCGGCCAACAGCCGCTCGCCTGTCCTGTCAGTTCGGAGCCTCCCGAACCCTTGCGAACCCTCAGCAGTCCACTCCTGGCTGTCTGCAAGGAATATAAATCTTTCCATTCCCCACTATCCTTTGGCTTTGAAACGGAGCTGAGCACTGCCCCCTAGAGTCAGGAACGACTAGCACATATGCGCAAGGGGAACCTTTACCTTTACCTTACTCAGTTTATGAATGAGTACCATCTGTTCCCCAGCTTGGCATCTTTGTTGGATCGTAGCTTTCAGACATCCCAAGCAGGTGGAATGACGGGCAGGAAGCTCACCGAATTGTACTTAAGTGTAATGGTTAAGAAGAGGCACAAGAGGGCTCTTTTAAGCTTTATATTTCTTGGCCAAAATATGTAAGTCACTGATGAAGAACTGATGACTTTTGCCCCGTTTTACGACTTTTCTCTCCACGTTTGTTAAGTGAATCTCTGCAGTTGTTAAATTAGCAATTCCATTGTTAAGTGAATCTCACTTTCTCATAAATCGTCATAAATATGACCCAGTTGTCAAGCCTCCAAATGGAAATCGCATGACCATGGGGAAACTGCAATGAGCCTTGGTAGTACAGTGGTTTAAAGCACCCTGTTATTAAGACCAGCTGCCTGCAATTACTGCAGGTTCGAATCTCGCCAGGCTCAAGGTTGACTCAGCCTTCCATAAGGTAGGTAAAATGAGGACCCAGATTGTGGGGGCAATAAGCTGACTTTGTATAAATATACAAAAAAAGGATGAAGGCTATTGCTTAGCACATTGTAAGCCGCCCTGAGTCTCCGGAGAAGGGCGGCATATAAATCAAAATTAAAAAAAAAATAAAATAAAAAAAATGGTCATGCGTGTGAAAAATGGTCGTAAGTCACTTTTTCTCAGTGCTATTGTAACTTCAGTCACTAAGTGAACTATTTTAAGTTGACTTAATTTTTTTTTTTTTTTAACTTTGGTGCATTTTGTGAAAAATGCACCAAAGCCTAAAATTCACATTGGTCCTTGTGAGCTACAGTAGTGGCCAAAATTGTGGAAACCTTTTGGGAAAAGTATATTTTCTAAAACTAGCGCCATAAAATTATATATCAATGGAAAGATAATTTAATCAAGAACATAATGCAATAACTTTTATGAAGGATTTGCGGTTACAATAGTAATTACAGTATAAAGAAGAAAAGTGAAACACGTAGAAAAACCGAGAAATACAAAAATTATCACCATAGAAAAACCAATTACAAAAATTATCACCATGTCAGTTAATACTTAGCTGGGTAACCTTTAGCATGAATTACGGCCTTACAATGTCTTCCCATGGAGTGAATAAGTCTTTTAGTTCTGCAGCTGTTATCATGTGAAACCAAGATTGAAGGATGGCTTCTATTAACTGGATTTTATTGCTGGGTCGCTTCTGACTAACAAGTTTCTTTAGTCGGCTCCATAGATTTTCAATTGGGCTATTCCCAGGCCATTCCAGCAATAGAATATTATTATTTTGAAACTCGCCCCCCTCCCAAAAAAGTGGTGTTATTAGCCATCAAACCTCAAAAATACACTTTTCCCCAAAGGTTTCCACAATTTTGGCCACTACTGTAGCTTAATTAGCACAAGAAATTCAAAACAATGATTCAGTTTGCGCATCTGGACAGCTGACCTTCTGCAAGGTCCATAAGATCAAATCTACCTTTTTCAAAAGGCAGAAGAATTGTGGAGACACAATCCAGAATGACAAGCTCTTTGGGGCCCGGGCAGCTCTGTCACTCTCATCATTAACTTTAAAAAGATATTTTTTTTTTAAAAAAAAAGTCAGTTACCTGTTATCTTTCACCCATCGTGAAATCATTTCCGCACAGCTTTAAACCCATTGCGGAATTAATTCATTTTCGGTTTTGCAGAATACATCCAAACCGTGTAAACCCAAAGATGTCTCAAAACTACACAAAAGAAAAGAAACCTGTTTCCCGTTCAGCCTTAGCGTGCTGCATAGAGTGTTGCTAGCTGATCTGATTTCTGATAAGTTGAGCACATGCCTGCCTCACTTCATCAGTAGCTTCAGCCTTTAAACTCAAGAGCTGATTTCCAATTTTTTTTCTTTTGGTTTTTGTTCTGCACAAAAGCCACATTTTCTACCCAACAATCACCTTTTTGTTTTTTGGGGCCGATGCTCATCTTAATTGCGCCGCTGTTTTTCTATGATTTGATCGAGTGTGAATAGAGAGTGGATCCTCAATGCATTTTTTTTTAAAATTTGATTTATATGCCGCCCTTCTCCGGAGACTCAGGGCGGCTTACAATGCGTTAAGCAATTTGTCTTTGACGTGGCAAGAGATAGCCACGGGACGTGCCAACCTGTGGCAAGCCTTTTTGACCACTATGGTTTGCCACAGGGTGGCACATAAAAAAAGCAGCATTGCAAAAACTGTCCCAGCTCCACACAGGATCTCTGGAGCTAGTCAGAGTGACCATCAGGTTCTTGGTCCCTTCTCATACTAAGGTCTTCCTCCCGATTGTTCAGTTTGACCAGAGGACCAGCTGATGGAAGACTCCTGATTTTGCCAAACATCTTCCGTTTGAGAATTATAGAGGCTACTGAGCTCTTAGGAACGTTCAGTGCAGCAGAAATTTTATTGTAGCCTCCCCCAGACGTGTGCCTTGCAATCATCCTATCCAGTGGTGAAATCCAAATTTTTTTACTTACAGGTTCTGTGGGCGTGGCTTGGTAGGTGTGGCAGGGGAAGGATACTGCAAAATCTCCATTCCCACCTCACTCTGGGGCCAGCCAGAGGTGTTATTTGCTGGTTCTCCGAACTGCTCAAAATTTCTGCTACCGGTTCGTCAGAACCTGCTGGATTGTGTCACCCCTGATCCTGTCTCTGAGCTCTGCAGGCAGGGTGGCACATAAAAAAAAAAAGCAGCATTGCAAAATACAAGATGGCTTGAATGGGTTTCCAAGAGATACAACGGTACCTTGCGTTCAATAAGACAATGCCTGATTTTGCAAAAGGGGTGCATGAGCCAAGTTTTATGCATTTGCCCTCTACCATCCTAGGAACATCCCAAAGGTTGGAGGTGGGGGGGTTCCTTCAAAAGGCAACTGAATTTTCTTGGGTTCCTCCCTCCTTTGGAAATGCTTCACTTCTCATCCAAGAATCTTCTTCACTTCTCGGTGGGAGGTAAAGAAGTAAAAAATCCACAAATGTTGTTGAATTCATTGGTGTCATTGGTCCCATGCTGTTGCAATTGGAACAGGATGTTCTGTTCCTCATTAAAATTTCATTGTTTTTTATTTTATTTTATGGACTGAGTTGGGGAAAAAAATATTTCGACATCAGAAAAAGGAAAGATGGTCTGTTTTTAATTTATCTTTAGGATTCTTGGCTTATGATTGAGAACACCTCCCTACAGACAGTTCAAGGAGGCAGTGGGTAAAGCAGGGTGACAATTATGGGATGGAAGACCGATAATAATTGAAGGGTATCTAGATGGAAAGGCTGCTTTAGGGAATTGGAGCATGCAAGGACCAGCTACGACAAAATGATTTTTTTTTTGCTTGCCTTCATGACCTGTGAACTTCAACTCATCTATCTATCTATCTATCTATCTATCTATCTATCTATCTATCTATCTATCTATCTATCTATCCTGCCTCTGTCTCTCTCTCTGCCTAACTGCCTGTTTGTATATCCATCCTCTGTCTGTCTGTCTTTCTGTATCTATCTATCTATCTATCTATCTATCTATCTATCTATCTATCTATCTATCTATCTATCTCTATATCTACTGCTATATCTATCTATATCTATATCCATCTATCTATCTATCTCTATTTCTATCTATCTATCCTGCCTCTGTCTCTCTCTGCCTAACTGCTTGTTTGTATATCCATCCTGTCTGTCTGTATCTATCTATCTATCTATCTCTATATCTACTGATCTATATCTATCTATATCTATATCCATCTATATCTATATCCATCTATCTATCTCTCTCTCTCTCTCTCCTGCCTGTCTCTCTCTGCCTGCTTGTTCGTATATCCATCCTGTCTGTCTGTCTGTCTGTCTGTCTGTCTGTCTGTCTGTCTGTCTGTCTGTCTCTATCTATCTATCTATCTATCTATCTATCTATCTATCTATCTATCTCCATCTATCAATGTCTATCTAAGTCTATCTCTCTATCTCTATCTATCATCTATCTATCTTCTATCTTCTATCATATATCATATATCTCTTTCTCTCCCTCCTTCCTTTCTCTCTCTCTCTCTCTCTGATTCCTGAGCATGGATGACTCAGGAATTCTGGGAGTCGAAGTCCACAGGTCATACAGATGCATTCCTACTCTAGATCAGGGCTGTCAAACTCCCAGGCCCGCAGCCCGGATGCGTCACGCGCTGGCCACACCCATGCCCTGTTTAATGAAGGAAAAAAGTCCTGATACATCATGTGACGCTGCCATGACGGCGTGAGTTTGACACCCCTGCTCTAGATGGTCAGAGCTATTGTTTTTACTTTGGCTATCCACATCTGATATTTCTCTGCAATTTGGAAAGATGAAAGTGCTTTCAGCTGATCAGCAAAATTAAGGTCTTTACATGCAAACTCATACAATAATAATCTCTTTAACACCAAAGTCCATATCTATGGCATGTAGAGTGTGTGTTGTTGTTGTTTTTAAAATGACAACTCTATTCAGAGAGGTACTATTCTATCAGGAAGTAGCATATGTTAAAAGCATAATTTAGAATACACTCAGCTTATTAAAAATAATTGGCTCTTTCTCATAAATATAATTCAATACCGCCTACAAATCAGTTTTCTGTTCATCCAACTTCTTTTTTTTTTTTTTAGTGTTCTAAGACATCTGCTTCGTGTGATAAAAGATAATTAGTTATCAAAATTCTCTGCTCATCACAAACAAGTCACTAGTTGTATTCCTAAATTGCACTAAACTCTGGTTTACTGGTTAAGTTCAACAACACTCCAAGTGAAAAACTCATTCAACAAACCACAGTATCATGGGTTGCATGGACATAACCTAGAAAAGGACCCCAAATATCTAAACCTAGTTCCCCAAGCTTTTTTTTTTAAATTTACTCAAAAGTAAGCAGTCAAAGCAATGTCAGTTTTTAATTCTTCTTGATCGCCTCAAGTTGATTAAAAAAAATTAAATAAACAGCTCAGTTTTTTTAAATGTAATACTATTGTAAATTTCATCAACTAACTTCCATTTAGTGCTTCATTAAAAAGTACCCTCAATTTTCAAAGCTGAGTGATCTGGAAATTATTCTTTTGATTTCTGGATTGCTCATCAGAACTCATGTTTTGTTTTTTTAAAAAACTGGATTTCTTCAAGAGACACAACTCGGGAATATTTTTACATACAGTTCTGTTAAAATTTCCCAGGATGGAAATACAACATTTGATGAGTACGGATGCTGACTAACTTCAAAATTAAATACAGAGGACCAACATTTTCCAAAAATACACAATATATATATATATATTTTAATCCAATTTGGAGCTCCAAGAAGAATGACTCAGTCTTAAGAGGACCCGATCAAAAGTTTACAAATTGGCTTGAGGATAGTTCTTCTTTGTTATTCCTAAAAACAAAAAACAGATGAAGCGGAGTACGAAGTTAGTTCTCTCCCCAGTCCAGGAATGACCCAGTCTTTTCCGTCGTTTTGAAAAGTACGACAGCTTTTAAAGAGAAGAAAATCCATGGAGCAATCAACTGTGGAAGGATGACCAGCTCATATCCGATGTGTAAAATTCTGTCTCGGCTGGCCACTGTTCCAGTTTGTCTTCGTCAGACCTGTCACTCTCATCCCCGCTAGAAACTTCATAGCCAGGCAGAGGGGAATAAAGTGGCTTTGCCTCGTCTCCAGATTCCTTCTTTTTGGCCATCAGCTGCTTGTAGCAAAGATTGCAAACCCTCAGCGGTTTGGAGGATAGCCGAGGCATGAGAAAACGCTGGCGGGAACAGTTGCCGCACACCACGAAGCCGCACTTTCGACAGTGGTGTCTTCGGATGAGTGCCGAGAACTTGGTGTGGGTGCAACGCATACAGATATCCGTCGCCTTATCCGGAATCCAAGGGGCTGCGTATTCCGTCGGGGGCTGCTGTCCCGTTTTGGACAAAAGGTGTCGAATGCATTCTTCCAGGTGACTGACCCACTCTTTGCGCTCGGTCAGCGAGGCTGCCGAAACCACGAAGGATTTTTTGAAGGTCTTGATCATCCATCGGTTTTTCATCTGCAAGGTGTCCGGGAGAATCTCCAGAGTGACTTCATCCAGGGGGATGATGTGTTGGCAGCTGTACTTCCGTTTGTTGATCACAATGCTGCCGTACACCAGGATGTCGTTGAAAAGGAAGAAAATCCGAGGCTTCGCTTTCTTACGGCATTCTTTGGTCAAAATCCCTTCGCCCAAAAGAACCCTTCCGGGAACAGCTAAGGGCTGGCCGGAGGTCCCAAAGCAGTTTTCCACTGCCGCAATCCGTTGACTGTTGATCTCTGTGTTAGCCAGGTAGTCTACCATCTTGAGAAGTCACCTGCAAGAGAACCCAAAGATTAAATGACAAGACCAGGTACCGTTTGTTCTACAGCAAGGGTGTCAAACTCAAGGCCCGCGGGTTGGATTTGGCCCACGGGGTGTTTAAATCTGGCCTGTAGGTCTGGCCTGGAAATAGCAAAGGACTGGCTCGTGGTGCCTAACCCCCCTTCCCCCCCCCCCCGCCACCCCATTTTCAGCCTGGACTGCCTCTTGCAACATTCTGCTGGTCAAAACAGGGTGCAGGGCAATGGTGAAATGCTACCGGTTCGCTCCAGTTCGGGCAAACCTGTAGTGATAAAAACTACCGATTTGGACGAACCGGTAGTAAAAAAAAAAAAGCTACCGGTTCAGGTGAATCTGTAGTTTAAAAAGCTACCGGTTCCTCTGAACCAGTATTTCCGAAGATCAGCTGTGCCGTGCAGTTTAGCTGTGCTAGAAAGCAGGAAATCCTGCTGCATCGCATGTTTGGTGCACAATGCGCATGTGCACCCAGCGAGCATTTGTTGTGCAGCACATGTGCGCAGCCAGCAAACTGGTGGCAAACTGGTTTAGATTTCACCACTGGCCCGGGGGGCCTCACGCAGCCCCCTCATGCAACTTTTTGGCTGGCAAGGTCTGCAGGAGGCGTCCGTCCCAGCTCCCTGATCTGGCCCGCGAAGAAATCCCGTTTGACACCCCTGTTCTACAGTGTCATCAAACCATGAAAAATAAACCCCTCGATCTTAAAAGCTGATTTCACCATGGGCAAGATCCAGGATTTCAAAAAGCAACCAGTTTTTACAGTAACACGATACTGAAACGCTTTCCTGAATCATCCCTTGGAGTGTAACTTTTAAGGTTAAGTCAAGAACAGAATCTATACAAGGTAGCCCTCAACTTACCACTATTCGTTTAGTGACCAAAGTTACAATGGCACTGAAAAAAGTGACTTACGACTGTTTTTCACACTTACAACTATTGCAGCATCCCCGTGATCAGGTGAACAAAACAGCAATAGCACTTAGGCTTAATAACATTCCATAGTAGAGATTATACTACCTGAGACTTCTCAGGAAGCAACAACTGAATGAAAAACGGCTGCATCATAGAGTATTTTAACTTCCTGCACCTGTGTATGGTTTGCCAATTGCACAGTGGTAGATAGGACAGCGCTCCAGAGGGCTCCGGAGAGTCAGCGTCATTGCCCAGAGGATCACTGGTTGCCCTCTCCCCTCTTTGGAAGAGCTTTATAGCTCCCGCTGCCTTAAGAAAGTTCAAAACATTCTTAAAGATCCATCTCAACCTGGGCACCCTTTTTTTGTACTATTACCATCTGGCAGACGGTACAGGATAATAAAAACAAGGACAAATAGGCTGAAAAACAGCTTCTATCCCAGGGCAATAACCATATTGAATTCTACGGTATAGGGCAATATCGGGTTTTCAATTTCAATTATACAGAATGTAAAGGATGTATGTTTGTGTTTTTATTTTTAATGTACACCAAAGATGGCATTTAATTTCATTGTACCGTGTGCAATGACAATAAAGTAAACTAACCTACTACTTTAAAGCCCTGTTTAAGTGATTTGCAGAGTTTATTGCCCCTAACAATCTGGGTTTTTTACCCACCTCAGAAGGATGGAAGGCTGAGTCAACCTTGAGCCGATCAGGATCGAACTGCTGGCAGTGGAATTCAGAGTTTGCCTGCAATACTGCATTCTAACCACATGCGCCACTACGGCTTTTCAGTTGGACTCTTAGCATCTGGTTCATATTTATGACAGCTGCAGTGACCTGAGGTCATGTGATCACTTTTTGTGCTCCTCTGACAAGCAAAGTCAATGGGGAAACCAGATTCACTTAACAAGTCACTAACTTCACAGTTGCAGTGATTCATTTAACAACTGTGTCAAGAAAGGTCCTAAAATGGGGCAAAACTTAATTTAACAACGCTCTTGCTTAGCAATCTGGATTTTGGGCTCAATTGTGGTCATAAGTCTGCATAGAACAAATCTACATATTTGCCCGTATCTTTTGGTGTTTCTCTTCCTAGACTATGGACGGAAAATTACATGTTTTCCTGTGATTCAAGAACGTCCAGCAGAGACAGAAAATTAGCAAAGAGACATTGTTCTACTTTCCTTTGGGTATGAGAGAGTTCCTTGTTTTTTAAAAGCAGGGCTCATTCACAGATTGTCCCTCCCCAATGTAAGATTTTTAAAATGGGATCCTCTCCATAGTATTTTTCCATTTAAGAATCCCATACGACCCACGGCAAACTTCATTAGGTAGTCCGATATGCAAGCTCAAGGGACTTAGATGTCACATTTGAGTTGCTTAAACAAAGCTTAACAGCGCTGGTCTCAAGCAAAACCCTCTTAGATATGGAAAAAAAAATATATGAGTCATTTCCTCATCAACCAAGGTAAACTGAAGTTCACAGAGAATGTTCCCATATTTTCCTTCCAGAGACAAATACAATTGCTAATATAACTGGCCTTTCACAAAGAAACAAAGGTCATATTGGGGCAGGATTCTTATCTACAATGAGTGTGTAAATAAGCATTGTTTTTTTATATATATATATAAAAAAGAAGAGACTTTTATGAATGTTACATCCCTAAGTGGTTTAAGTGTACGGAGTGTAATAAGGGACATCGTCAGCTTAAGAAAGTAAGAAACAGAACAGTAAGGTTCTAACCAAAGAAAAGCTAACCTACAGCATAATCTCAATCTTGTGGTTCGTTATATCCGGCTCAAAACCATATGCCAGCCAGCTTTTACTTTTGTCATGGAGGGTAGAAATGTATTTGCAGTGGAAAGTCTCGAGTTGCAACAGATTTGGCATTCGATCGAATTTAGCTCTCTTTACACTTTCTTAATTTTCATAACTTTTCACAAGACCCACAATTTGGCAAAAAAAAACAAAAAAAAGAGCTGGAACAAATGTAGTCACTTGTACCAGAGTAACAGAGTTGGAAGGGGCCTTGTAGGTCATCTAGTCCAACCCTTCCCCGCTCAAGCAGGAGACCCTCCACCATTTCTGACAGATGGCAGCCCAGTCTCTTCTTGAAAGCCTCCAGTGATGAAGCTCCCACAACTTCTGAAGGCAACTTCTGTTCCATGGGTTGATTGCTCCTGCTGGCAGAAAATTTCTGCTTATTTCCAGGTTGAATCTCTCCTTGTTCAGTTTCCATCCATCATTCCTTGTCTGGCCTTTGGGTGCTTTGGAAAATAGCTTGACCCCTTCCTCTCCGTGGCAGCCCCTCAAATATTGGAACACTGCTATCATGTCTTGCCTGGTCCTTCTCTTCACCAGACTAGCTATTTTTTTTTTTAATTTGATTTATATGCCGCCCTTCTCCGAAGACTCAGGGCGGCTTACAATGTGCTCAGCAATAGCCTTCATGCTTTTGTATATTTATATAAAGTCAGCTTATTGCCCCCACAAACTGGGTCCTCATTTCACCTACCTTAGAAAGGATGGAAGGCTGAGTCAACCTTGAGCCTTAGCGAGATTCGAACCCTGCAGTAATTGCAGGCAGCTGGTCTTAATAAGCTTAATAACAGGGTGCCTTAAACCCCTGTACTACCAAGGCTATGCCCAGTTCTTGCAACCATTCAATGTATGTCATATCACATGGACATACAAATACACACACGCACACTTCAATACATTTCGCCTGTGATCCCAACAGCAGAAGGAAGCTATGTCTTAATTCTTGTTTATGCTATAGGGAGGCTTTGCAACAGTCACACGTTTAGAAGGATCTTCTAAGATGTCATATCTTAGAGCATACTGCCCTTTTATATCCTAAGGGGATTTTCTGTGATACATTCTGTTTTGGAGGTTGTCTCCAGAACGATCCGTGTTTGAAACAATTTTGTTTCAAACACTGCAATATTTTGCTATTGCAAAATAATTTTGCAACAGCAAAAGAAAAAATAGGTACCTCCCCCTCATCCTTATTCCTATTTTTCTTTCAACTTATTAAGAAGTCAGCAAAAGGGAGGCCAGATGAAGTGCTGGTGAGGAACCGCAGGTATCTGTTCTGTCTTAGTCATAATATGCATTTGTTCTAAATTAATCATGGAGAGAAGCAACGTAGAACCAGGGAAAAATTGTGAGAACAATCAACCAGTGGAACGGCTTGCCTTCAGAAGTTATGGGGGCTTCATCACTGGAGGCTTTTAAAAAGAGACTTGGACAACCGTTTGTCTGAAATGATATATAGAATCTCTTGCTTGAGCAGGGGGTTGGGCTAGAAGACCTCTAAGGTCCCTTCCAACTCTAATATTCTATTCGGTAAACTTCAATGCCATGCACCTTCCTCCCTCCCTCCCTCCCCCTTCCTTCCTTCCTTTCCTTCCTTCCTTTCCTTTTCCTTCCTTCCTTTCCTTTCTTTTCCTTCCTTCCTTCTTTCCTTCCTTCCTTCCTTTCTTTCCTTCCTTCCTTTCCTTCTTTCCTTTCCTTCCTTCCCTTCCTTCCTTCCTTCCTTTCCTTTCTTCCTTCCTTTCCTTTCCTTTCCTTTCCTTTCCTTTCTTTCCTTCCTTCCTTCCTTTCCTTCCTTCTTTCCTTTCCTTCCTTCCCTTCCTTCCTTCCCTTCCTTCCTTCCTTTCCTTTCCTTTCCTTTCCTTCCTTCCTTTTTCTCCCTGTAAGATGGTTGGGCTGAAAGACAAAGAATGGCCCAAAATCACCCAGTCAGCCTGGTGCCTTAACCACTAGCTCAAATTGGCTTTTAGAACCAGTTTGTTTTTCTGGACTGATGAGTTTCCCTTTGCTCATTTAGAAGAATTGTGTTCATTTCAAGAGAAACAAAAAACCCACAATAAAGCTTGCCAAGCCTTTTTTTTTTCCCCTCCTGCTCTTTCCTTTACAGCTATAATGATTTTTTTACACACTCCAGCAGGATGGAAAAAACCAAAAACCGGCAGCACCTCTAACCTCTTGGCTCATTTGAAGTGGGAACTTGTCCTTGTAAAAGGCAGCCAAATTTTCATGATTCTCACAGGCCGCTTTTGCTGATGGAGTTTTTTCCAAGAGGTTTCCAGCAACGTGAAGGTTTCCGTCCCATGAAAGGGACCGATTCAAGGGATTGAGAAATTATACCGTTCTCTTGGATCTTGGAGTCCTAATTGGACAACCATTTAAATAGGAGCCAGCAGTGTGCAGCAGCTGCCAAAAAAGCCAACGCAGTTCTAGGCTGCCTAAACAGAGGGACAGAATCAAGATCACGTGAAGGGTTAATACACTTTACAATGCCTTGGTAAGGCCACACTTGGAATACGGCATCCAGTTTTGGTTGCCACGATGTAAAAAGGATGTGGAGACTCTAGAAAGAGTGCAGAGAAGAGCAACAAAGAGGATATACTGGGGCAATTTAGAAAAGGAAAAAAAAACAGAAAGGAAGCAAAAAAGAAAGGAAGGAAGGAAGGAGGGAGGGAGGGAAGGAAGGAAGGAAGGGAAAAAGAGAAAGAAAGAGGAAGGAGAGAAGAAGGAAGGAAGAAAGAGAAAGGAAGAGGAAGAAAGAAAGAAAGAAAAGAAGGGAAGAGGAAGGAAGGAAGAAGGAAGGAAGAAAAAAGAAAAAGGGAGGGAAGAAGGAAGGAAGGGAAAGAGAAAGATAAGAAAAGAAAGCAAGCAGAAGGAAGAAGGAAGAGAAACAGAGAATGGAAGGAAGGAAGGAAGAAAAAGAAAGAGAAAGAAAAAGAAAGAAAGAAAGAAAGAAAGAAAGAAAGAAAGAAAGAAAGAAAGAAAGAGAGGGAAGGAGGAAGGGAGGGAGGAAGGAAATTTTGTAAAAAGGATTTAGGAGCCATAGCAGACAATTATTTTATTCACCTTCTGGAAATCCATTTGCAGGAACTGACTTAAAACATTCCAACTCTCCAATTACTGGCAGGCAATTATTCTCCTCACCACACAGTGCTTTTTAAAGACTTCAACCTTCATTTACATTTCTGGAAAGTATACTTTAAAACAAGAGAGCGCCCGTTCCTTGGCTTGAACCGCTGCAGAGATCTTGAAGTGCTAAAAGAGGCTCTTTCACAACAGAGCCCTACATTGTCTTTCTTCGAAATAACGCTTCTCCTCTTCGGCCCGGGCTTCCTTCCCAGAGCCTGCAAAATCGCGGCTTTCGTCAGATGGATCGGCTGAGCAAAATTCAAGGAACTATTGTTATCGCTTCATCCAATCCAAAGCGTGGTTTTTGTAAGAAAGATTTTCTTTTGCAATAACTAGTTCTCTTTGAGTTCGAAGAGCCAACCAACGCTGCAAACCCCCCCCCACAAAACCCCAAAACCCAGAGCCCCTTCAAAACTGAGTGCTTTGAAAGTAAAAGAGGAGAATATATATATTTTTTTTGCAGAAGAAAAATTCAAGTCACACGTTTGCACATGAGTTGCATTGCGGTTTATAAGGCTATGGCTTAGTACAGCTTTTCCCACTGTATACTTCCTTTGTCTCTGGTAATTTCAACTTCCATATCTTCCTCCCAAGGGACGTGGTGACTCAGTGGCTAAGATGCTGAGCTTGTCGATCGAAAGGTCGGCAGTTCAGCGGTTCGAATCCCTAGTGCTGCATAACGGGGTGAGCTCCCGTGACTTATCCCAGCTTCTGCCAACCTAGCAGTTCGAAAGCACGTAAAAGATGCAAGTAGAAAAATAGGGACATTTGGTGGGAAGGCAACAGCGTTCCGTGCGCCTTTGGCATTTAGTCATGCTGGCCACATGACCACGGAGACGTCTTCGGACAGCGCTGGTTCTTCGGCTTGGAAACAGAGACGAGCACCGTCCCCTACAGTCAGGAATGACTAGCACATGTGTGCAAGGGGAACCTTTACCTTTACCGTAAGATAAATAACTTGGTTTTTATTTGTTTTGTGAACAGATACGGTCACCATTTCACCTAGCTATCTCACCCTTTGGATAAGGAGCTACAAGAGATTTTGTTTTTTCTTTCTGTTCATATCTTCTTGAGATTGGGAGGAGGCTTATCCGCAGATAAGGAGTTGCAAGTTTGCAACTCCCTGCGGAACAAAATAATAATCCAAGCCTAATTTACACAAAGCCATCCTTTAGATTTCCATTTCAACACACTGGGTTCATTCATCCAAAGGTCAGCCTATAAACGAAACCTGAAAGAATACATAATATTCAAACAAAGGGAAAAAAATGCACATTCAAATTCCAGTGGCTTGCCGAGCTATCATTAGAGTCAAACTAGATTTTTGTGTAATAAGCTTGACTAAATCTTCTGAGCTGCAATTTAATGAAGAGTCCTCATCCTTTGTGCCAGACAAAGAGATGTTTTGAGCTTCTAAATATACACCGCTTACCCCAGCACTGGATTCAAAACGTTGTTCAGATAGTCTTCGACTTACGACCACAATTGACCCCCAAAATTCTGTTCTTGAGTGAGACATTTGTTAAGTGACTTTTGCCCCATTTTATGACTTTTTGGTGGGTAAGTGAATCACTTGCGGGTGTTAAGTTACTAACCCGGTGGTTAAATGAATCTGGCATCCCCACTGACTCTGCTTGTCAGAAGGTCCCAAAACATGACCTTGGGACACAGCAACGGTCATAAGTATGAACCAGTTGCCAAGTGTTTGAATTTTGATCACCTTATTGTGGGGATGCTATGATGGTCATAACTATGAAAAAGCGGTTGTAAATTACTTTTTTCAGGGCTGTCGTAACTTTGAACGGTCACTAAATGGATGTTGTAATACTCTGTATTACAGAGTAAGCCTTGCCTGGTTGACTGGGGAATCCTGTGAGTTGGGGGATGCTGGAAAGGTTGTAACTGTAAAAAAAAAATGGTCATAAGTCACTTTTTCCAGCACCGTTATAACTTTGATCAAAAGGTTGGCCATTCAGCGGTTCGAATCCTTAGTGCCGCGTAACTGGATGAGCTCCCGTTACTTGTCTCAGCTTCTGCCATCCTAACAGTTCAAAAGCATGTAAAAAATGCAAGTAGAAAAATAGGGACCACCTTTGGTGGGAAGGGAACAGTATTCCGTGCGCCTTTGGCGTTGAGTCATGCTGGCCACATGACCACGGAGACGTCTTTGGACAGCGCTGACTCTTCAGCTTTGAAACGGAGATGAGCACCGCCCCCTAGAGTCGGGAACGACTAGCACGTATGTGCGAGGGGAACTTTTACCTTTACCTAAAGGAGCCACAGGAGAACAGCCTTAGGACTCTTCTCGGTTGACTTGAAAACCCAAGCTTGAAGCATACCCCGTGCAAGAAGCCAACTCAGAAATGAAGGCCAGAACAAATCCTTAGTTGTTTTGCCTCACTTAATAATATCCTTGAATTAATTCCAGAGAAAAGGGTGGTTGCTGTTAGCTCAGAAATCAGAGGATGAGTCAAGAAACGTAGCCCGGGCTTCCCTGCGTGTCACTTGGGCAGAATGACTAAGAGTATCTATTACTCCATCTTCCCTGGGGACGTGGGTGGGGGGTGGGGTGGGGAATCCCTTTCTCTCTGCTCTGCCATTCTACTGGCTTCTGAAGAAACTTCACGAGCCAAGCGGTACTGAGATGGAATCGCTAGAATAAAGGTCTAGAACAGGGAGCGTTGATTTCATTGAGGGCTGCATCAGGGTTTGTGTTTGACCTTGGGGGGCGGAGGGCAGGGGTGTGTGGACAGGGTGGGTGTGGCCAGCTCGACATCACGGTGATGGCCCACATACTCTGCCAGCGAAAACAGGCTCCCGAGCTCCGTTTTCGGCTGCGACGGCCTCCTGCAACCAGTGAAAACGGAAATGGGAGCGCTGCTCGCGGCCCTCACAAGCTCCGTTTTTGGCTGCGACGGCCTTCTGCAACCTTCTGCCAGTGAAAACGGAGCTTGCGAGGGCCGCCCACTGCCCTCCCGAGCTCTGTTTTCAGCTGTAACGGCCTCCTGCAACCCTCTGCCGTTGAAAACGGAGCTTGGGAGGGCTGCATGCAGTCCTGGAGGCCAGTCCTTCACTGTTTCCAGGATGGCCCTGTGGGACAGATCTAAGCACCCCGCTGGCCGGATCTGGCCCCCAGGCCTCGAGCTTGACACCCCTGGTCTAGAACTAACTTAAAAAGCCACTTACTTCTCTGGAACTTTCTCCTCCAATCGATGGGGGCTGCTGGGTTATCTGTCAAAGGTTAGCCTCTACAGAGTAATTTGTGACTCATCAGAGATAAAACTGCAAAGAAGGAGAACTCTTGCAAAACCTTCTTTTTTGACTGGCCCCCAACCCCTTTCTGCGGAGGCCTAGCTATTTGTGTCAAATTCTGCCATTATTTCAAAATAATAGGAAAAAGTAGAGGGGGAAAAAAATAGAAGTTCGTAACTCTAAATTGGGCAGAAAAGGCAGGGATTCTTATTCTCGCAGCTCAGCCTTGCAGGGTATTGGATTTTAACCCTCTGATTATGAAAAACCCCATTCCTCTGTCCATCTTCCCTCAGCTGACACTTTTTTTTTCCATTTCATAGTCAATTCAACCATTGTATGCCCTTCTCGTCCCACTCTCTTGTTGCTGGCGTCTCTCTGCCAACGGAAGAATGCGACTCACAAAGCAAGCTCTCTACTTCACAATATCTATGTACCACTAACACTCTTGCATCGTTTGGTTGTTTGTAACCTTCAACTGGGTGAACGTTGGAACCAAAAAAGAGCCTTGGTGGCGCAGTAGACTAAACTGCTGCTGTTAAAGTAGCACTTAGCTGCCAGCTGCCTGCAATTACTGCGAGTTCAAATCTCACCAGGCTCAAGGTGTGAAGTTTCCGAAAGATGCCTTAATTAATTCATGAGCCATGAGCCGAACTTCAAAAGAAATACAGTCATTTATTAGGAGCACCATTTCGGCAATATTCGGATGCAGTTAGAACTAATCCCACGTAGATTTACGTTCCCCTATGACCCTGTCTTTCCCCTCCTCTCTGGCCATGTCATAAATCACATTCTCCAATTAACCACTTTGGCTGGCTGTGAAATCCAACACCCTCCTTCTGATTGCGGTCAGGAAGAATATATGGAATGCACTTCAGTTAGGGAAATCAATCAGCTCTATCAGTTCTCCCTCCCTCCTGCTCATGGAAACTTGAAAGCTTTGCAAGTTGACATAAGGTTGACTCAGCCTTCCATCCTTTCAAGGTAGGTAAAATGAGGACCCGGTTTGTGGGGGCAATAAGCTTACTTTGTATAAAATAGAACACCACTCGGGGGGGCCAAAAAGCCCTACCAAGCAGGTATATACAAAAGTATGAAGGCTATTGCTTAGTGCATTGTATGCCGCCCTGAGTCTCCGGAGAAGGGCGGCATATATAAATTGAACTAATAATAAATAATAATAACTGATGCATCTTAAGGCAACCATTTTTGAATCAATTTACCTCAAATGAACTAACTTAAAGAATGCACCCAAAGACCAAAAACTCACAACTCCCATAGAATTCAAATGTGGCAAAGTTTTGGCCACTTTAAATGCTGTTGCATTGCTGTGGTCAGCCAGTCAACATTTCCAATGTTCCTTGCCAGTTTCCTACAAGGAACGTCACTGGGCAAGCCGGCAGGAAGTCGGAAGTCAGCCCTGTTACCGCTGCTTTTTTTTTTTTTTGCCCAGCTGTGTTCATTTTGTTTCTCTGTTTAGGGAAATAGGTATCTCTGAAACAACGACCCAATGGGTCACGGGTTGTCTAGAACCCATTAAATCAGAGGTCCTCAAACTTGGGAGCTTTTTAAGACTTGTGGACTTCAACTCCCAGAATTCCTCAGCCAGCTTCGCCTGAACCGGTCCAAACTGGTTGAATCCCACCCCTTGAAATGACCTTGGCAATCTGCTGGAGACTTTGACCTCCCCCCACCAACCCAAAACAATGCACACATGGGTTGGTGGTAGCGGTAGTGTTTTCAAAGAAATGGGTGTAAGGAACCATGGAGTTGGTTTTGGGAAATAGCCCTGTGGTTGGAAGATCAGGGTTATTTTAGTGGGATTTTTGTCCAATGATGTATTTCTTTTATATAGGCTGAAGCTAAGCTTAGTACAAGTATGGGGTCTGTTAGAAATTATCTTCATCCCAAATGGGCAACCATTTCTCTAGAGCAGAGGTCCTCAAACTTGGGAGCTTTAAGACTTGTGGACTTCAATTCTGGGAGTTGAAGTCCACAAGTCTTAAAGCTCCCAAGTTTGAGGACCTCTGCATTAAATTAACCCTCAATCTCAACAGAGTGGCTGCCGAAGCCTTTATTACTTGTTATGTTCCTATTTTGTTGGTGATGCTCTAGTCTCTGCCTTTAAATCAGTTATTTGGGCACTTGGATATGACGGAGTTTGGTGGGAAGATCTGAGTCTTTGTGTGACTCAGGCTGTTGTGAAAGGCAGAGAAGTCCAGCTGCGTAAAAAGTTGACTCTGCAGTTGAGATCAAGTTGAAATCACTTTCCATGACAGGGACTTTCATCAGAAGTCTCCTTCGAGATCAACATCACTGATTTCTGAGAAGGCACTGCTTGGATGCAACCCAAGTTTTTTGCTTTGGGTCTATCGATGTTTTAGATCTTAGAATCTCTAACATGATCATTTTCAGCCTGCTATCTTCCAAGCTTCAGTTCCTAGCCCAGAGGTCAGCAACCTGCAGCTCTGGAGCCGCATGTGGCTCTTTCGCCCCCTCTGCTGCGGCTCCCTGTCACTCAAAATATGCTTCATAACCGCCAATGTGCGACACTCGCCGGCACGTGATTTATTGAGCTTTTCAACCCCCCGGTAGGCCAACCATGGATAAAGCCAAGAAAAGAAAAGTTTCAGAAGAAAACAGAACGTTTAATTCAACTAGTTTTGTGGCCGCTCAAGAAATCGTCAGGCACGGGAAGGTTTTTGTGACTCCCGGTGTTTTCTTTTCAGTGGGAAACGGGTCCAAATGGCTCTTTGAGTGTTTAAGGTGGCAGACCCCTGTCCTAGCCAGCACTCTTTCATGGAAGTAGAAACTAGAGGCGGCCTCAGGAGGAGAAAAGCTATCTTCCATTACTTGAACAAGGTATCTAAACACTCATACTATAACCCCGTGATGGCAAATAGAGCCCTCTCTGCAGGCATGCCAGCCATCGTCCCAGCCCAGCTCCACTGTGCCTGCGCGCACGCCTCCTTCCAGCCAGCTGGTCTTCGGGACTCTGCCACGCATGCGCGCGGGGGTTGCAGGTTGGCGCAGGAGGCTTTCCAGGCCCAAAACGGGGCATGGGGGGGGGGCTCATGCTATGCACCTGCACCCTGTTTTGGCTTCCAGGTTGGTGCAGGAAGTTTTCCAGGCCCAAAACGTGCCCCAAAACCAAAACAGGGTGCAGGGGGGCCGGACCGCATGCATGCATGGGGGGGCACTTGCATTGCATTTTGGGGGGTTCGGGCATGCGCACGCTTTGGCCGCTCGGCACCAAAAAGGTTAACCATCACTGCTATAACCTATTAAACTTTTCTATAAGTGGGATTCCCCCCCCCCCAGTACAATGAGAAGCTAGGTGGGGGAAAAAACCATTTGGAAGGCTTTTTTCAAAAGGCAACTGGACTTCTTGTTTTTTTCCTTGAAGACGTTTCGCTTCTCATCCAAGAAGCTTCCTTCGCTTCTTGACTGCTGGAGGAGCATCCATTCAGTCAGAACCGAAGAAGCTTCTTGGGTGAGAAGCGAAACGTCTTCAAGGAAAAAAAAAACAAGAAGTCCAGTTGCCTTTTGAAAAAAAGCACCTTTGGGATATACGTGTACACAATACCCCCTGACGGTTATTTCTGTACTTTTTCAAAGAAAACGAGGGAAATCTTGCAACAGGTCAGTCAGTAGCTACCCATAAGAATTCCATCTGATGAAGTTGGAACTTTATGTATGGGGGAGCGGGCGGGAGGAGGGAGGAAGGGATGGGACTGGAATGCATTGTATTTAAATCCCCTTTTCTCATTTTTCCCCCAAGTCCAACTTCTTCAGCGGTGGTGCAAAGTTTAAAACTCCGTTTAACCCGCGCGCCTCTCCGTTTCCGAAAGCAAACCGCGGGGCGGAGATCGGCGGGCGAGCCAAACCCAATTCCCAACCTACCTTTTCTTGTGACTTCCTTGGCTCCGCTCCAAACCGAGGCGGCCTCGGCCGCTCTCTCGATCCCTGAGATCCCAAGGGTCCAGTTCAAAGATTCCCTTCGCTCCAATCCGCTTGGAAGGAAGCCAGAAGAGCAAGGCGGAGAAGTGGCAACCCCTGAGACTTGGAAGTGGCTAACGAAAGAGATCCACTGGAATCCGGCTGGAAACCAGATCCAGTGAAGTCCCCGGAGGCTTATTTCGGAGTAGATCCCAATAGAGATGCAAGATCAAATGCCTGCTTTAAAAAAAAAAATAATTAAAAAAAAATCTTTCTTTCTTTTCGCGTTCTCTGCGAGCTCCGCGGCGAGAAGACCAGAAAAAAAAAAGTTAGAAGGGAAAAAGTATCTTTGGAACGCTCAGACTCTCCAACATTCCACGCCCTCCCTTTGATGTGGGGAGGGGGGGGCTTTGGGCAGCCAATCAGCGCGGCGCCTGGGAAGCCAGACCATCCGGTTCTGGAACGCTCAGGCTCAGCTTTCCAACGCTTTAACCACGCCCCCCCCGCCCCCCCCACCCACCCCGAGCAGGAGAGAAGAATCGTGAAAGAAAGGAAGAAAACGACAGGAACCAATCAGAAAAGGGACAATCGGAGCCTGGTGATTTATTTATTTGTTTGTTTACTTGGGGTGGGGCGGGTGAGAAACAAAAGAAGAAAAAGGAGGAGGAGGAGGAGGAGGAGGAGGAAAAGATGCATGGGGTGCGGTCGGGGCAGAGATGTGACAGCAAAGTACGGGAGACGTAGCGAAGCCCACGTAGTAGAAGAAAAGATTTCCGGTGGGAAGAATCTGGGGTGCGGAGAAACCTAGGCAGAAGTTTACATTTACAAAAAAAGCAAAATAAATAAAATAAATCAGAACATAAAATACAAGCTGGATGGACCTAGTAGACGACCCTTACTCTGTCAAGAACCTTGGAGTACTCCTCTCTAATGATCTAAGTGCCAGAGCCCGCTGTAACAGCATTGCCAAAAAGGCATTTTTTTTAAAAAAAAAATTGATTTATATGCCGCCCTTCTCCGAAGACTCAGGGTGGCTTACAATGCGTTAAGCAATAGCCTTCATACTTTTGTATATTTTATACAAAGTCAGCTTATTGCCCCCACAAACTGGGTCCTCATTAAGAGTTCTAAACCTAATCTTGCGTAGCTTCTTCTCTGGTAATATTGTACTGCTAACCAGAGCATACAAAACATTTGCTAGACCAATTCTCGAATACAGCTCATCTGTCTGGAACCTGCATTGCATATCGGACATGAATACAATTGAGTGAGTCCAGAGGTATTTCACGAGAAGAGTCCTCCACTCTTCTGCTCAGAACAGAATCCCTTATGCCACCAGGCTTGAAATTTTGGGCTTAGACAACTTAGAACTACGCCGCCTTCAGGCGCCTTCAGTCTGACCTAAGCGTAGTACACAAAATTG